ATGAGTGAACAGAGTGACATTACGCATATCTCGCATTTCTTTGCAATCTTATTCAAAAGATAATCATAGACAACATAGATACTATGGCCGTTATTCTGAACTCCCTTTTGTTGATACAAGTGCCTCTATATGTGATTTATAAGCTTTCTGACTGGCTCAAAAGTACAAATTTAGAAGCACTCTCAATCAATAAAAAAGAATTCAGAATAAAGGCATGTGTATACAAACATTTGTGTCTGTGCGACAATTAACATCCAAGTAATATTCACAAACAACATTCAAAGAAACAAAAGATTTGCATACTCTTCTTTGTTGAAATATTGATGAGATCACCTATAACAGTTGTTTGAACATGGACATGTATAAAATAAGTAAAATTATACCATAAGCATGCACATTCAATGAAGAAATGCAATATTGTTCACGACTCGAATGTAAAACAGAACATGCTTGAAACAATGTAGCATATAAATGAAATAAATGAGAATTCATGAATACGTAGTAAAGTAGTAAATTGCTAATGCCTAACCCGACTATCATCACTATGCTCGTAATATTGAAATATGTGCAAAGATTGTTTGCAAATACCCGAGGATAATCCTTTCGACGAGAGATTCAATCGTCCGGTTTTTCTCGCCGACACGATCGCGCTTTTTGACAGCTCGGCATTATCGTCTGTTTTTGTACGCTTTTTAAACAGAGCGAAACGATTGCTCTTCTTCTTGACGTCGCTCATGTTTACAACGCATCTCACCCTCGCTCATCAAAAGCTCTCTCTCTCTCTCTCTCTCTCTCTGCTTGCAGACCATGGACGTAGACTTCAGATTTCAATAGTTGGCTGAGTGCACCTAACTATTAGTGATCCTACGCCATTGCTTACCATGGACGTAGTATACATGGACTCCGCATGGCTGCGTTCAGAAACCCTACTCCGTAAGTAGAGTAACATTTAATTAGCCAATCAGAGCAAAAGGAACTAAGATTTATTTATTATGATTGGTTTATTAAAGTAACTCTACCCATCGAATAGGATTTCTGAACATAGCTCATACGGCCAGAAAAATGAACCCAACATGTAGAAAAAACCATAGGGTACTTTCTAGTTACGTTTTGTGTATTACACAAAACTAGTTTATTGGTTGTATATTATTTTATGGCTCCTGCACACAGGACGCGGTAATGCTTGCCGCGCGGCGGAAGTCCGCGCGACAGTCAATCATTATGTTGTTTTTCCGTAAGAGCTAGAAGAGCTAGAAGAGCTAGAAGGTTATTACGGAAAGCAGCATATTGATTGGCTGTTGCGCGAACTTTCGCCGTGCGGCAAACATTACCGCGTCCTGTATACAGGAGCCATTACAAGATATTTTAGGGTGCTTCCCAAGTGCTTAACACATCTTGACACACACGTACACAAAACGAGTTTATTGGTCATATATTATCTAAAATATCTTGTAAGATAATATACAACCAATAAACTGGTTTTGTGTAACACAGTGTACGTAACTGGAAAGCACCTTTAGATAATATGTGACCAATAAACTGGTTTTGTATACGTGTGTGTCAAAATGTGTTAAGCAATTGGAAAGCACTCAATGGCTTGGTTTACATCGTGCACTTGATACGCGTATTAAATAGTAACTTTCTATTAGATAATCTATTAGATAATCTTAATATCGACGATGTATATAAATAATGGTACATTAAGCTGGTATAATACTGATCAAGAAGACTTATTGTATTGATTGAATGCGTTATCGTTGATATGCTTTGTCAATATTAAGATTATTTAATAGAAAGTTAGTTAGCCATTAGCTTGGTTTACATCGTGCACTTGATACGCGTATCAGGTACTATATTCGTATCAAATTTGTACTAAATATTTAATACACACGATGTAAACACTGACGGATCAATTTAGTGCGAGCGTGCTAAGTAGCAGTATCGTACTAAACTAATACGCGTATCAAATGATACAAATGACGATATATACATATGAAACGAATGTTGGAGGGAACCTAACCTAATTAAAACCGGTGTTATCGGTAATCGTTGGTTTCAAATTATATCATAGTAAAATGTCTTGTAAAAAAGGAGAGAAGAAATGAGTACGTTTTTAGAATTATGCATTCTTTCTGTCGGTCGAAGCTATCTTAAGCAAATTGCAATTCCAAATACCACCACTAGAAGGTAAACGACATGAATTAAATTCGTATTATATTTTTCCTTTAATATGTTCGATGTAAACGCACTCGTATTAAAGCATTGGTGCGCATCAAATTTAATACGCGCACTAACGTTTTGACGATGTAAACTAAGCCATTGTGCATAAAGCTATAGGTCGCGTTCCGTTTCACGTACATGCGCGCATTTATCTATAGTTCACGTTACGTATACTGCAACCATAGTCCTACTCGGATGGAATAGATGGCGACATATGTACCTGAAGCCTTATATTAAAGGAAGGAAGGTTCCACTCGGATATTCTTCTGTAGTTTTCTTGTTCGTGTTCTTTCGGTCGTTTGTTTCACGGTAGGTTGATGCATACGTAGTAACCTCGGAATAAATAATCGGAGAAATCCAATTGTTATTGGTGACGATTCGTTAAATTCGAGGACGAATATCGCGTAATTCATCACGATTTGTACGAATACCGCAATATTTTTGCAATAGCGATCGCTGATCTTACGATTTTATCACGTGTGCGTTGTGCGACTTACGTGCGACGTCGCGGATTATAATATTGATAAATTCGAATTTTCTTCTATTCCAATTGTTAGAAAAAACAGATTTGGAAACTTAGCGCAATGTAAATTTTAACGAGTCGCACTCTTGCTTCGAGTCATACACTTTCGTGTTGCACATTTGGAAGAATAAGATACATAACCTCTGATTCGTTTTCCTTACAGATGGCGGACACGAAGGTTAAGACTCCGGAGAAGAGAGTCGCTGCGACGCCCACAGCTGCTGCAGCCGAAGCAAAGAAGAAGAGATCGTCCTCAAAACCCAGAAACTATGACTTGGGAAACGGCGTGTATAGATTCAGTCGCACGCGTATGTACCACAAAAAGGCGATCTACAAATTCCTTGATAAGAAGACTCCAAAGAAAGTGAGTTTGTCTTAAAAAGTTATGTTTTTTAATTTTATTTAACCCTGAATTTCAATCAATTCATGTATTATTAACCTTTTTGAGGTTCTTTTTGTTCATGTGATTTTCTAATATACAAAGACCTTCATTCTAAACTCTTATTGAAAAGAATACATCTAAATAATCCTTTAAATCAATCAAAAGTAGTAAGTTATTTTTAAAGCACAATTTTATCAATAAAAGAGTTCAAAGTAACAGTTATAATATTCATGTACTGGTCAATTTCTATAAATATATTTCCTCCTTTTAGTCTATTCTTCTTACTCATCACTTCCTTCTTTTCTTTTTTGTTGCTTTGCTATAATTATCTTCCCACTAAATTTGTAGCTTTTCATTATATTCTACTTCTTTGTATACTTTCTTTACATTCTTTTCTAACTTATTCTTTAACAAACTTTCTATCCATTCCTTTACATCTATGTTGTACATTAATCTTTTAAGTAAGACTGCAAAGAAATTTATATATATAATGCCATCTTATTCTTTTGTATTATATCAAAGGCATCTTTGGAGGAAAGTTATACTCAATATCAGAATTTGTAATTGATACTACTAAATGATTAATTTATTATTATTATATACATAAAATTTATATGGTTCTTATTAACTCAACTTTCTTCTAGTTGAAATTTATGTGCTAATAAATATATCTCTTTGCAGGTCAAACCGAAGAAACCACTGACCATTGAGAAGCAGATTGGTGGTGATAAAAATGGTGAGAAACGTATCGTGCTCTTAAAGAAGAGGCGTGCGAATTATCCCACCGCAGACCCAGTCACTGTACACCATGCTAAAAAATGCTTCCATGAGCACCGTCGTTACTTGAGACCTTCATTAACGCCAGGAACTATCTGCATCATGTTGGCTGGCCCTCACAAGGGCAAGAGGGTTGTTTTCCTCAAGCAGCTGAAAAGTGGATTGCTCTTGGTTACTGGTATGTGTTCATATCATTACATTAACATTACTATTGAGACATATAACTGTAAAATTGTAACTTTCTTGGGAAAATTGGTTGTACTTTCATTTTTTTTTCTGAATGTTTTCTATTTATCAAATACAAAGCTCATTGTTATTGAGTGACAATGATATTGTGTCATTTGTAATTTATACTGTTATTAATACACCCCAAGAAGTAATGAGTTGCATTAATCAGTTCTTTTTAGTTAGATTAGTGTTCCACAAGAAACTTTGTTCTTTTCTACCCCAAAGCTATATACTTATACTTTATGCTAAGTTATATACTTATTTTACTCCAAAAGCAAAGAATGCAATCTCAGTTCACAAAAAAAATATTAAATCTAATATTGGAAAATCATTGCAATTGTGAAGACGCGGTCATACGTAAAGTTACAATATTTTTCATTGCATGGTTGATGTTGATAATTGCAATATAAGATTGGCTAATTAATTACATCGCTACGTATCTTGCACAGGACCGTTCTTAATCAATGGCTGTCCCTTGCGAAGAGTCAGTCAAAATTATGTGATCGCCACGTCCACGAAGCTGGATCTCTCGCATTTCGAATTGCCGCAGCATATTCGAGACGAGTACTTCAAGAGGAAGCGTGACAAGCGCGCCAAGAAGGAAGAGGGAGACCTTTTCAGCAAGAAGAAGGAAGAGTACACGCCGAGCGATGCGAGAAAAAGTGACCAAAAACTTGTGGATAAAGTAGTTATTGATGCTATCAAGAAGCTTCAAGATAAAAAGATGTTGTTCACGTATCTTTCGGCGATGTTCGGGCTGCGAAGCAGTCAATACCCACACAGATTAAAATTTTAATCTATTAATTCGACTTTTCTTTGATTTATATGTAACCTCATACATTGCAATGTGACTTCTCGCTCAAGCTGATGTTTTTAGATCGAATAGTACAGCAATAGAAAAAGAGAACGGTTTTTGTTTTCCCTTTCATTCGGCCTGTTTCTTCCCATTTGACTAAAAGCCTTCACACATGAAATGACAACTGCATGTTCATAGCATAAAACTGTATGGACCAATGAGCATCGAGATTGAGCATCAATATAGCGGCTAAATACTCGATGCTCATTAGTCCATACGTCTTATGCTATGCACATGCAGTTATGTCATTTCATGTGTGAGAGCCCTTAGAGTCTGACCTATATTGTCAAACTTTCTATTGGTTTTGACAAAATATGCCGGAACTAATAAAAACGTTTTTTCGTTTTGTGACCACAATGGCTGCGTTCGGAAACGTCACTCGAGTACTCTTCCTCTCTTTTTATCTCACTCTTGTATCTCGCTCCTACGTAACGGGTACACTTGGGTGATGTTTCCGAACGCAGCCAATACTGTTTGGTTGGTTGGTTTGGTCCACTTAACATTCGCAACGCCTCGAGCAACAAAGCTAGAATGACGCTCGTGGCGTTAAGTGGACCAAACTAACCAACCAAACGCTACCGTACTTACGAAACAAAAAAACATTTTAAGATGTCTCGAATCTATACTTTGCGAGCGATATTATTCAAATGATAGGAAAAGAACAAGAAAAAAAGAAACATGTTTTCAATCATTTTATTTATGTAAAAACATTATAAATATATATACCATAAATAACACCATAAATATTACACATATATATTGTATTATTTCACAATAGAATGTAGTCATTGTTTTGCTATTAAATATTTTTGTTTTTAATTTTCTCTTTATGCATTCAATTTTCATGCAAAAAGGAATAAACCGCTTCATAATTTTGTCATAAATTGCAACAAGTACCTCATGTATCGCAACGAATATTAGTCATTTTTGAAAAATGACTAAATATTAGTCATTTTTGAAAAATGTTAAATTACAATTTTTGTCCTTCAAATATGGTAAGTATTGTCTAATAATTATTTCTATATGAAAGTAAGTGAAGGTTGCTGTGCATGCGAGAAAATGGCCGCTACCGCCACATATTTTCACTACGTTTAATCACAAAATTCTTTTGTTGAAAATGAGCAGAGCAAATAACGTCCAATACCACCTATTTTTTTGTTACATTTTTTGATGCAATAAGATGCTGGCAGTTTTGGTTTTACAGTAACTGATTGGACAGTAATTTAATGGCCACGCTGACTCACATTGTACGTTGTAAGTACTCACAGAAGTAACACGTCACATCAACTTCACACACATAGGACCACCGCCATTTTCTCGCATGTAACCGGAAACCTTACGCGACGCACGTTCGAAGTCCTTGTTAGCAATCTAGGTTGCGTTCCAAAACGCAATTTCCTTTTTGAGGAAATTTAACTCGATACTCTATAATATATGTAACATAAACTATAGGTATTAAGTAAAATTTTCTTTAAAAAAGAACATTTTGGAATGCAACCCTAGTTTAATATAGACATCTGTGGTGGCGCATTCGTATTGTCTTTTGACGCATAAGCGCCCAAGGCGAACGTAGCTTTTGAAGACCGAGAGTGAGAAACGTCACATTGCAACGTATGAGGTTACACATAAATCAAAGTCGAATTGATAGATTAAAATTTTAATCTGTGTGGGTATTGACTGCTTCGCAGCCCGAACATCGCCGAAAGATACGTGAACAACATCTTTTTATCTTGAAGCTTCTTGATAGCATCAATAACTACTTTATCCACGAGCTTTTGGTCACTTTTTCTCGCATCGCTCGGCGTGTACTCCTCCTTTTTCTTGCTGAAAAGATCTCCCTCTTCCTTCTTGGCACGCTTTTCACGCTTCCTCTTGAAGTACTCGTCTCGAATATGCTGCGGCAATTCGAAATGCGAGAGATCCAGCTTCGTGGACGTGGCGATCACATAATTTTGACTGACTCTTCGCAAGGGACAGCCATTGATTAAGAACGGTCCTGTGCAAGATACGTAGCGATGTAATTAATTAGCCAATCTTATATTGCAACCATGTAATGAAAAATATTGTAACTTAATGTATGATCACGTCTTCACAATTGCAATGATTTTCCAATATTAGATCTGCCTTTTTTTTGGTGAACTGAGATTGCATTTTTTGCTTTTGGAGTAAAATAAGTATATAACTTAGCATAAAGTATAAGTATATAGCTTTGGGGTAGAAAAGAACAAAGTTTCTTGTGCAACACTAATCTAACTAAAAAGAACTGTTTAATGCATCTCATTACTTCTTAGGATGTATTAATAACAGTATAAATTACAAATGACACAATATCATTGTCACTCAATAACAATATAGCTTCGTGTTTGATAAACAGAAAACATTCAGAAAAAAAAATGAAAGTACAATCAATTTTCCTAAGAAAGCTACAGTTTCACAGTTATATGTCTCAATGGTAATGTTGATGTAATGATATGAACACATACCAGTAACCAAGAGCAATCCACTTTTCAGCTGCTTGAGGAAAACAACCCTCTTGCCCTTGTGAGGGCCAGCCAACATGATGCAGATAGTTCCCGGCGTCAATGAAGGTCTCAAGTAACGACGGTGCTCATGGAAGCATTTTTTAGCATGGTGTACAGTGACTGGGTCTGCAGTGGGATAATTCGCGCGCCTCTTCTTTAAAAGCACGATACGTTTCTCACCGTTTTTATCACCACCAATCTGCTTCTCAATGGTCAGTGGTTTCTTTGGCTTGACCTGCAAAGAGATATATTTATTAACACATAAATTTCAATTAGAAAAAAGTTGAGTTAATAAGAACCATATAAATTTTATGTATATAATAATGAGTTAGTATAGTATCAATTACAAATTCTGATATTGAGTATAACTTTGCTCCAAAGATGCCTTTGATACAATACATGAATAAGGTGGCATTATATATATAAATTTCTTTGTAGTCTTACTTAAAAGATTAAAGTACAACATAGATGTAAAGGAATGAGTAGAAAGTTTGTTAAAGGATAAGTTAGAAGTAGAATGTTATGTAAAAAGCTGCAGATTTAGTGGGAAGATAATTATAGCAAAGTTAAATAACAAAAAAGAAAAGAAGGAAGTGATGAGTAAGAAGAATAGACTAGAAGGAGAAAATATATTTATAGAAAATGACCAGTATATAAATATTATAACCCTTACTTTGAACTCTTTTGACAAAATTGTCCTTTAAAGGTAACTTACAACTTTTGATAGATTTAAAGGATTATTTAGACCAAGGCTCGGAACGGTTAGCCAATTTTGACAGATTCTCGAGAGCTACGCCTTCTATCTCCCCCTTGCTATGCAGCAGGCCACAAAAGTGACGGTCTCGGCCAGTCACGGCTTCAAATTTGGAGGCTCAATCGTCACTTTTGTAGCCTGCTCGCGGCAAGGGGAAGATAGAAGGCGTAGCTCCTGAAAATTGGCCGGAATTGACAAACCATTCTGAGCCTTGATTTAGACGTATTCTTTTCAATAAAAGAGTTTAAAATGAAGGTCTTTGTATATTAGAAAATCACATGAAAAGAATCTCTCACAAAAAAGGTTAGTAATACACAAATTATTGATTAAAATTCAGTGTTAAATACAATTAAAAAACAACTTTTTTAAGACAAACTCACTTTCTTTGGAGTCTTCTTATCAAGAAATTTGTAGATCGCCTTTTTGTGGTACATACGCGTGCGACTGAATCTATACACGCCGTTTCCCAAATCATAGTTTCTTGGTTTTGAGGATGATCTCTTTTTCTTTGCTTCAGCTGCAGCAGCTGTAGGCGCCGCAGCGGCCTTCTTCTCCGGAGTCTTAACTTTCGTGTCCGCCATCTGTAAGGAAAATGCATCAGAGGTTATGTATCTTATTCTTCCAAATATGCAACACGAAAGTGTACGACCCGAAGCAAGAGTGCGACTCGTTAAAATTTATATTGCACTAAGTTTCCAAATCTGTTTTTTCTAACAATTGGAATAGAAAAAAATTCGAATTTATCAATATTATAATCTGCGACGTCGCACGTGAGTCGCACAACGTGATAAAATTGTAAGATCAGCGATCGCTGTCGCAAAAATATTGCGGTATCCGTAAAGATCGTGATGAATTACGCGATATTCGTCCTCGAATTTAACGAATCGTCACTAATAACTAGATTTCTCCGATTAGGTTATTACATATACATCAAACTCACCGTAAAACAAACGACCGAAAGAACACGAACAAGAAAACCACAGAAGAATATCCGAGTGGGACCTTCCTTCCCTCAATGGTCTGGTTTACATCATGCACTTGATACGCGTAATAGTAATTTTCTATTAGATAATCTTAATATTGACGATATATATAAATAATGGTATATTAAGCTGGTATAATATTCATCACGAAAACGTATTGTATTGATTGAATACATCGTCGTTGATATGCATTGTCAATATTAAGATTATCTAATAGAAAGTTACTATTTAGTACGCGTATAAAGTGTACGATGTAAACCAAGCCATTGAAGATCATCTTAAAGGCCATCACACACAAAATTCCGTAAGAACTTAAAACGTAAGCGTAAAGAAATCGACCAATCCCAATCGAGCACTCGGCCTCGTAACCCCTCCATTATTACGAAGAGCCGAATACTCGATTGGGATTGGTCGATTTCTTTACGCTTACGTTTGAAGTTCTTACGGAATTTTGTGTGTGACGGCCTTAAGTACTGTCTTAAGATGTCATGAACCAATCACAGAGCCGTATTCGTATCTTAAGACATTACTTAAGACGGTCTTGAAATAAAATTCGACTATGAATACAGGTCTATTTTCTCGCGTACGAAGCGCCTCCGCAGCTGTGTGACGCAGCATCGAACTATGTAGCCAACGTTCACGATCAGCTCTCGGTCGGTAAGCTACGTCGATATGATCGCGTTCTTCTTTTCCCCTAACGTGACTCGTGAACATTTCTATGTTTTTACATTAGAAAATTTTCACTTTTCACGAATTTACGCTAAAAAAGATTCATGATTGACCAGCAGTAAAGACCCTTACAGAACGCCAGGCAACAGGCAATAGGAATAGAGAATAGGAATATTCGGATTGGTCAATCATTTCTATTTCCTGTTCCTATTGGCTAATGTTTATTCTATTACCTGTAGCCTGGCATTACGCAAGGACTTTAATAAAAGGTGACGTAAGATCAATGATTTTATGCAACACTCTCCAAGCATTCGCTGTAGGTGGAATCAGGTGGAATCGTACTCGATCTTGAGTAACCTAAACAATCGTGCGATAACGAAAATATGTCATCGCGCTGAATGAAATCGTCCTTGATTGAATGAAATAGACCTAACAGGCAACAGGCGATAAGATGTAAGCAATAAGTAAATTTTCTAGTCACAGTAGATTATTTGATGATTTAACCGATGGTGATTAATCAACTTTCTTATTGCTCACATCTTATTGTATCACATCTTTATCGTAGAAGTCCTCTCACTTTGCCGCACGTTTGTTTACAACTTCATGCGGTCAGCTCATTCATTTATGACCGTCACCGCGCTCATTGAGTCTTTCTAAGGTAATATGATCTTTTCACGTATCTTGTTTGTGAAATGTATCTATTTTTTTCGTGTCAAAAATATTTCACGAGAAATCGTAAGATGAAGAGTTTTACTCGGTCGTGTCCGATATATGTGTACCCACGGAGACCGTGGAGAAATCGTGTTTACTGGTAATCGTTGACTTATGAATGTTAATTACATATTTTTTCATTACCATATTTCATTACCATATATTTGGTTTTCTTATTATCTGTACACACACACTATATGATTTAATGTCTCTGCGAATACCAGCCAAGTCTTATAAGTTAGCGATTTCAGTGCCTCGACGTCTGCTGGGCAAGATGCAACGCAACACTGCGGATTTCGTGGACTTGCTGGCGGAGAGACGGAAGGATTGCGATATCGCATGGGCGATACGACCTATGAATCCATTGCTACCGCATAAATTACCACCAGAGTTGAGATACAACAGGGAACAGACGATACAATATATTTTGTCCAATGGACGAATCTGTGCCACAATTAACAGAGTGGCAGCTACATTGAATGTCAGTATCAAGGATGTTGAGAAGAGAGCACGTGCTATACTCAATGAGATGGCTAACAAAGAAGACTTGATGACAGTTCGCTTCCTAAGTATGTATATATATTTATAATTTGTGACAATTATATATTTGTATTTTGTAATGTATTCGTTTAAGTATCATCTAACAAACACCAACTAACAGTAACATCAATGCATCAATATTATGATATTTTACTCAGTGTAATGTAAAAAATATTTGTACACAGGAGATTGTCTTGAAGAAGGCTTTATTTGTAGAGAATGAGCTTTATTTAATAATTGATTAACAGTGAACATAATAAGTGATATATTTCTCAAAATTATGTTAATAAATTGTTAAAACTTATTTTCTGCAAATAAGGTTTTTTTTCAATACTCTCTGGTGTACAAATACTTTTCGCATTCACCGTACATTGTTGAATGGGGAATTACAGCTTTGGTTTTTAAATACAAATATTTAATAATCGTATTCTATGTTAAATATTCATATTTAAAGATTAAGTATGACTAATATTTAATGACTGAAACAATAAGAATAGAAGTAATAGAAAGCAAAGTATAGTTTTTGTATTTTTACTTTACTATTTCTTATAATAATTTCCACTCATATTTGAATTATAGGTATGTTTATAACAAAAACCATAAAGAGGATGTACACCAGGATCTATGTGAACGAATGCAAAATCTTTAGCTTGAAGCATGAGATGCAGTTGTCGCAAGTGCAGTATGTCTATGTACCGACTCACAGGAGTTACTTCGATTTCATACTGATGTCGTACATTCTCTTTTCCTACGACATGGCATTACCGAATATCGCCGGCGGTATCGATTTTTACAAGATGAGAATAATAGGCGAATTATTGCGGAAGACCGGGGCGTTTTACATGCGACGTAGTTTCTCGAACGATCTGCTCTACAAAGAGATTTTTCGCTGCTATATCAACACTATCATCAGCCACAGCGGCAGAGCGATCGAGTTCTTCATCGAGGGTACCCGTAGTCGCAGTCAGAAGAGCCTCGCACCGAAATACGGTAAATCACACATCGACATCGCAAACAAGATTAAACTCTAGTAGCCCAGCACTTTACTTGGTTTCGGCATTTTTACGCGAATTTTATCGAATATTTAGGTAATTTTCAAGAAAACTAATGAAAATAATTGATCAATAATTAATAAGTAATTTATAAATTATTGTATACTTTAACTACTATCTACTCGCTACTATCTACTCGCTGCAGAATTCTTGATTAACTGACGTACTTTGTAAGAATTTTAGGCATGCATTTCCTCGCTTTCAGAGTTCTGAAAGCGAGTAGTCCGGAGTCTTAGGATTCGTATAAGTCTTAGGAATCGTATAAAGATTTATAAATTATTTATTAATTACTCTAATTGTTATTATTTTTCATTAAAATCCTCTTAATATTTGATAAAATATTGATATTAATATTCGATAATAGCAGCCTTAATGTTTTATAAAATTTGTGCAAGAGTACTGAAAACCTCTAGTCGACCGAATCGTTCTTTTGTAGGCTTGCTATCCGTAATCCTGGATAGTCTACTTGACAGCGACGTGCCCGACATACAGTTCGTACCGATAAGCATTAGCTATGAGCGGCCACCGGAGGAGTTGCTGTTCGCCTACGAGCTGTTGGGCATCCCGAAGCCGAAGGAGACCACGTCCGGACTTTTCCGTTCTAGGTCCATGCTGGACAAACCTTTAGCATACGGCCGCATATTCTTCAACATCTGCGAGCCAATCTCCGCTCGTTCTTATGTGAATATGTCGCTTCGCAAAGCGCGCGTTTTGTCGCCTTGCTTCAAACTACCGTCGTCGATCTCGGAGACCATGGCTCATCTCATAACAGATTCCCATAAGAAGAACACCGTCCTCATGCCAATTAACATCATCGCTTTGCTGTTCAACGAGTGGATCTTGACGCGACCGAGGGAGCCATACACGCTTGATTTATTAGCCACGGATTATCGATGGTTCAAGAACTTCCTCGTTAACAGGATGGGCGCGTTGGTGTATCCCGAAATTAAAACGTAAGTGTTGACTTCTATCATTTTTACTATTCTGTATTAAACAGGCTCTTCAAGTATACAACTAAATAAAGAATATTATATAGCAAGGCAAGCCAAATGCTGATGTTACAGCGAATATTGATTAATGTTTGGAGGATAAATAGTATTTCACAGTATTAATGCACACGCCAGATAGATTCTCCAGTTTTTATAACGTACGCGGCGAATCGGTCTTCTACTTCAAACAGACTCTGATAGTTTTCTGATAGGGGCATTTTACAAGTGTGTTCAAGTAATCTGAAATATTCTTTCTTATAAATATCTTTCTATTAGAAAATTTTTGGCATCATTAGATTTGGTTTCTGGGTTTGAGCCGCGTGGATTCTTCTTTGTCTGATTCCTTTGTCTGATTGTCGGAATCAGACAAAGAAGAATCCACGCGGCTCAAATCTGGAAATCAAATCTAATATTCATGGACACCGCGAAAGCTTTAAATATCAATTTTTGGCATGTGCATTTTCTCGCTTCTACCGTCATTAATCCAGGATTCCGCAGCAAGAAACCAGGAACTTTAATTTGATTATTTTACTTTTTATTTTGATGACTATTCAGTAAATATAATGACGTATTATTATTAATACGTCACTCTGCTGTTTTGGTAAGACTCCTTTGCTATGGAGAAATGTTGGATTTAGCTTTCGAGTTGGAGCCGCGTCTTTTGTGGATTTGTTCCCAATGTAAACTTGAACAATATTCAGTTCATTTAATTTTATTTTTCACTTTTATTTCTCGCGGCGCATTATACGGTTTGCCTTACAGCAGTGAAAACGATGATGTCAAGCAGGAGATATTAATGTCTTTGAGACCACATGAGGAATTAATCGTGTTCGATGCATCGAATACGTTGAGGCTCAAGCAGAGACACAAAACAAGCAGACATCCGATAAACATGAACCTGGTTCAGGGACATTTTCTATCTGAGCAGACAATGTCAGTGGCTGTATCCGCTATGAATCTAACGATTTATCTCAATTCGGTTTTGGATTCTATAATGAAGGCAGCTCTGATCACCGTAACGATAGAAGAACGTGGCATACCGACTGGTAATAATCGCACGCACTGTTTCTACTTCTATTTCTCTGCCTCGGAAGACAAAGGAGCGACGTACTTATTTTTACGGTTATTTTTAGTTCCTGTTCGAACGGTTCTTTCTCTTCCAAGGCGCAAAATAACATTCGAGATCTTAAAGTGGTAAAGATCAATTACTCGTTTGCGATGTAAATAGAATACTTTATATTAATAAAAAAAAAAAGATTATTCATCGTCCGTGTATTAACATATCGAATGTCGTGACTGTTAACGATGACCGGCACTGTCATACTATCATATAAGATATAATTGACTTAAAAACTTTGTGTGAGAAGTTAATTGCACTTGAAACATCGATTATACGACCAATAGAGAGCTAATGAAACGAGCTGCAAGATATATTTGTCTCGAATGATATTTATTTGCTATATCTCTTACAATTCAATCATGAGTTAAACTCTTGTACAATCGATGGAAATTAACGCGACAGTCGACATGTTAATAAGCAAGGGAAACACATGAATTCTTGTATTATTCTTATATATTATTCAATTCGCACTCACAGGAGAAGCTTTGAAACGATACGAACTACTTAGAATGTTGTTCAGCACCGAGTTCGTGTTTCGTCCAAGCACGAGTACAGATATGGTCGAAACAGAGTGGAGAGAATGCTTGGATATATTACTGTCGGAGAATTGTTTGCGTGTGCAAGGCAATAAGATTTCCCCGGGAGAAAATGCAAAACTATTCTCCATCTTGCACAACGTCGCGTTGCCTTTCGTAGACGTCGTATATACATTGTGCACCTTACTCGAGGTAAGAATTTCGAATCCTAACTCAGAAGTTAATTCAGTTAATTCAGAAATCAATTGAGAAGTTAATTTAGAAGCTTTTCTCATAGAATACATGTTCCCTTTGTCGGTATATTTCTATTTGACAGAAAACCATTATTTATATCAATACTTGTTTAGTGTTTATGAGAAAAGACTTTTGAATTAAACTGATAACCGCGAGATTCCGGTGACTGACGCATAATTCTCTTTAGCGGGACGAGATAATATCGAGTGTACTCGACGATAAAAAGATTTTCGCCGAGATGCAGAAGGAGGTGGAGAAGTTAATACTGGCGGGCGACAACTGCTGTCAACATCCGTACTGCTTGACTCTCGACCTATACCGTTCGACGTTGTCCACTCTGCTCTCGCAAGGAATCCTCGAAAGATACCTGTTTCGCGACATGTATCGCGTAAATGAGAATAGATTGGCGGATCTCATCAGCGCGTTGCGCGATTTACACCAACCGCTACGACATCCCGCAGTGCGTTATATTGACGCGCTTTCTTCGATTTTTTTACCGTCGGTGGAGATACAAGCTAAATTATAGATAAACAGCTGCTGAATATATATATATATATGTATGTATGTATGTAGACAACTATAAAATGTGTATGGGTGTATGTATGTGTGTTTGTGTGATATAATAAGAACGCTAATCTTGATACAATTTAATAATTTTAACTAGTTAATTAATTTAATTTCTAATTTTTAAGTTGAAATCTATTCAATTAATTAGTTTAACTAATTTAACTGACCAATTAGATTAGTTTCTAATATGTAAATTAAAGTCTATTTAATCATTGTAACTTGTTTAAATTGACTAATTGATAAAGTAGATTTGTAGACATAAGACTCGAAAACATGTTGACACGTTATTCGTAAACGAGACCAAGGCTAATTGTGACGAAATGTTACCGGAAACATAAGCAAACACTCTGTTATTTGTGAGATATTAAGATTACATGCGAAGACACATTAACTATGTCGAGATAAAGAGTGAAGAATGCGTAACACTGTACAATTAAACCTGGTTCACTTACAATTCCATCGTCATCACGATATCGATATTGATGTTTCGCTAAAAATACTTAAAAGTTAGAGACAAAACTGTTTAAATTGCCGAGTATTCTGGCGGTGTCATCGTCGAAATCCGACGTGGATCTCTTTCTTCTACCGAGGAATAGCGTAGACGCGGTTGTGGTGGTCATCGGACTGGTTATATTTCGGAAGAGAAGCTGCGAAGAGGATCGTTCTCTTTTAGATAATATTCCAGAGGAGCTTTCATGATCGATATCGACGAAAATTGCGTCGCATGTAACATCTCTCGTTGGGAGATGCTCGAAAGTATTTCCGATTTTAGCTCCAACATGCGCGATCATGGTAAGCGAGTATGAAGCCAAATGTTTCACGTTTCCGCATCTCCGGCCATGGAAAATCTGAGATCGACTGTAACGTCTGATGCTCGCACGTACTTTTAGACGGTACTTAAGTCCATGTCAAGTATTGGAGATTGAGAATTGTGGATTAGAGATTAGAATTCGATAATGCAACTAACACTTATTTTGGCTCGCTCTGTCGTGTTGATTGATCAAGTTCCAATCTTCAATTGCTTACGTAGTTTAGACGCTTTTTAGACTTCTATTTTACTTACCATTACCAGTCGCACGAGATAAACCGCGAACGTGAGGAACGATATAGCCATGAGCGCGCCTTCTATCGACGGGAATCCCACGGAATGATCCTCGTGACCGTCGTCGTAACCGTGATAATGTGCACCCCTTGTCCTTCGTCTCGGCGTCATGGTCGTGGCGAGGCGCGATTCTGCGTGCGTGAATGAAAAAATGAAGTGAGGAACGAGGAGAAAGAAGGATTGATATATATGAAAGAAATTGCGTGTAATGTACCCAGAACACATTGTATTCTAGGTAGAGATCATGTAACTTTTCTCTAAAATCAAAAACACAAAGAATAGGCAATTTCAGTCGAACTCAACAATTTGAGCGACTTTTTAAAATATAGAAATGTCGGATTTTTCAGGCGAAATTTTTCACTTTTCCATTCTTAGAGAATAGTTACACGATTACTACTTTAGAGATGGATCATGAATATTTTTCCCTGACTTGGGGAGTCGATCATGAATTTTCTTCTCTAGCGTAAACTCGTGAAAAGTGAAAAATTTAATTTAGAAGTATGTAGAAATATTCACTTTTACGAGTTTATAAACTAGAGAAAAAAAATGTATGACCAATCGTTTGCTTGGAAAGCGCGTACGAAAGGTTTCTACCTATCTCCGACATGAGAGTCTTCTCAAACGTCTTGAGAAAGTGGATCTTCCCTTCGAGCGACACCGGCTGCGACTGTAGAGTGCGATGGACGCTCTTAAGTATGTCTACGGGCAGGTATTGCAATATACCATCCTCCTGCTTCAGCGTGCGATTATAAAACTCGTCCTGCGCCGTTTCCGATGCGTGGGTGGTGCTCGAGGGCGACGGCTGAGTAGTCGTGAGCGCATTGTACGCCGTTGTATCTCGTGTTGTTGAGATCGCATGATGTCTATTCGATAACGTATTCTGAAACGCCGAATTGTGTCAGTCGTTTATTCCGAGGAAATACATTCTCTCATTAGCGAGAAATAATACGTGTAGTAATATGTGCAATAATACGTGTTAGTGAAGAAATATCCAGTATTTTTCTTCTCTAGCGAGCTATATATTATTGATAAAATTATTGTTATATTATTTAAGAGTATAGTATTATGTATATATCATTATTATTATATTTATATTATATATTTCTATAGTTATATTAATAGCATTATATATATTTGTATATTACTGTATTACAATAATTTGCTCAACTAATATATAAATTAAATTAATAATTGTTAAATCTGTCACACCTTGTTCGCGATATCGCTGGTGCTCGTCGGCTCGCGATTCTCCTCAGCCGTGTCCGAGTAAATGTCTGCGATCTGTACAGGAAACAGGTAAGACGTCGTGGTCGACTCCGCAACGGGATATATTCGCTTCATCTCCGGGATGATCCTGTCGTCCGTCGCGTGCACGGCTTTGACGACGGGACGACGAGACGAGACTCTACTGTCGTTTCGCGGATTGTCCGGGAAGCCGTGGTTATCCGCGTGGCCTCGTCGGAATTTATAGAACTGATCCTGTTGCAGGGAAGGTATCCTGAAAAGAGGATGAGAGCGATGTCAGACAGTACGATCTGATGAAACAATTCAAGAGGACAGTCTATCGCACACCTTGAACAGAAAAAGCAGCTCGCTAGCTCTCTTAGGACGAGACTCACCTGTAAATCTTGCTGTCGTCCGAGAACTGCGGCATGTCTACCCATTCTGCCAGGTTGAGATTCAAAAGGAATATCGCGGAGCACAACGCGCGGAAGGTGCCGCGCGCCAACATCTTGCGAAAGGACAGTGATGATGATGCTGTAACGTGGCCACTATCCGCTGAAGGGAACGCGCTTCATTCTCCCGAGGTGCCCGGTCGCGTTTCTAGCTGAATAATACGCCAACGTTCGCGGTGGCTGCTGCTGCGCCGCAACCGTCTGGTTAACAATTCGGAGGCTGCCTGACAGCCGCGGGACAGCGACAGGATACGCGCGAGAGGACACCCATTATTTCCGGCAGAGGTTCTGTTAGGATTAAAGAGAACGAAACGACGCGATGACGCTCCTACGTCGGTCATGACAACTCCGCTGATGACGACAACGACGACGACGACGACAACGGCGGAAATAGAGAGCAGTCTTCGCATTTTTTTCTCTTCTTTTCTGTGACCATCTCTCCGGTCCACCTTCGTGACACTAATGTCATTTTCCGCAAGAAAAGCCATCGCCGGGGTAGAGCGATAATAATACGGCAGAATTTGCGGATAGTATTCAGAAAAAGAGGGAGAGAGAGAGACACACACGAGGAACGTCTCAAAACGAGTCGTCGTTTATTTTGCGTTCTTGGATCGTTACAGAGTTTCTCCTCTACGTAAAGATCGTTTCTTATATAAAACTCGCGCGGATCTGCGGAAAACTAGCGTTACAACTACCACCGCGTCTCCTTCCGTGTCTGTGTTAATGTTTCACGTGTTCCCTTTACGATCCTACTTCTTCGCTTCGCATTACTGTAGCCTCATAAGAGAAATGCGAGTCGCATTGCCACCGTTTGTTATACATCTTATATTCTTTCGCTATGAGGATAAGGATTAACATATAAATCGGAACTTCCACCTGGCACTATAAGTACACAACCTGCTGCGATTCCATGTGCGCATACCGTTCGCGTTTCGCGGTTTTCAACCGCGACACTTCGTTCGATTATCCTAAGCCAGTTCCGAAAGCTTCAAGGCTGCCGAATGAGATATAAAGTCGAATCTGTGTACAATTACGTGAGTCAATATAAATGTTAAATATTATTACGAACATTATTCTTATGTATATGTATATTTAAATAATTTATATCCTGCTTTTTTTTTCAACCACAAACGTACGAAAGCGTAAGATCAGCGCGCACGGCAAGAGTACGAGAGATTACGATAACAACGTTTGTTCCTGACGTGTACTCCCGATCTTACATCGCATGTCACACAAGACAGATTAAAATGCGACGCTGCATATATATATATATATATATATATATATATATATATATATATATATATACACATATATATATATAATAAATGCATTTTCCCATGAGCAGGAGATATTGATCGATACGCCTGACTTAGAGATTAACGTTCACGTAAGTGAATTCTTAAGTACAATATGTATAATAATTAATGCATATGCGCAAACACCGCTCTACGAAAGTCTAGGGATAAAGCCTACGATGAACTCTTTTCTTTCTCCCCGCCCCTTAAAAGTTGTTATAAAATATAACAATCATAATGCCTGTTAACGCCTATCTAATATCTCTTATGTTACAGGTATTGACTACCTATTCAGGTGTTTTATCGTCATCTCTTATATTGTAATCTTTCAGTGAATATATATATGTATATATATATATAATTTACTGTCTTTATAAGGTGTGTAAAAAGTCCACACTGCTGCTTTATCATAATATAAAACGAAACAATCTCTTACGCTAACCTTGTAAAATTATGCAAGATATATAGGCCATATTCTTAAAGATATATGTAATGCCAATTGTTTGTGTGATCCGACATATGTAGAACTAGCACTTCGCGGCTGATAATTTTTACTTGCGGAAATATAAGTATCTCGAAAGTTTTATTCCCAGCTGCTCTTGTGTGACTCACAAGCATTCACAAGTGAGAATGAGTTTATCTGAATGATTAAATTACTGGATTGGCGCCAAGGAATTTGTTATTTTATTATATATTAAGGCTTATGTGAAGAAAATTTGAACTATTTTAGGAGAGATTAACCAAATTTTTTTTTTCAAAAAGTGCATAAAAATCTAAATTTAAATATCTATATTAATGAAAATCTCTAATCGCGATTTTGCACAGTTTTAACACAATGGAGCTCTTCCGCGCCAATCTAATAATTTTAACGAATTTTATTCGCAGATAATATTAGATATAGTCTCTGCCAACTCAAATTTATCTCATTCGCCTTTTACACAGAATGATGTAATAATTATCTCATGCCGCTCGTAAGCAGAATTTGCAAAAAGAGAATAAAACTTGTGTTCTATATTCAAGTACGCATCTCACTCGACGATTCCCGTGTTAAAATTTATTCTAAACAAATCGTAAAATTATCGATATAACACATAATCTTACGTCTCATGTTTTAAACTATGAATATATCGCTTTATAACTAATCAAATCGACGTAGAGATTCGTCAATTACCGTGTTAACAAAAGTTTAGATGCTAATCGTAACCTGTTTCATAATTCTGTCTAAACTTTAAATTAACACGCATCACAATTAAATTTTTCTTGCGCGACATCACGCTTTTTTATGAAGGAATGTTCAAAATTTATAAAATACTTATGCATACACAGCTTCAATTTTATGACAAAAACATGATTCTAAACAGAATATTTTTTCCCTTTCGTTTTGGAATATTTTTTTGGGGCGAAGTTCGTGACGAAATTATCGAAATTATAATGAGCAGAAATTACAATTCAACGTTCTCTTAATATTTTGTCAATCGTTTGTAGTGGAGACGTTACCTCATGACGATAGAGACGATATTGTATTATGTTTACGATCTGAATAAATTGCACATACAAACGCATTCGTGATTATTCAATCTCCATTCTATAGCGTCACGCTACGAACGTAACATAACGACAGTGCGTCACGACTTGCGTATTGTTTCCCGTCAGCAGCCAAAACTCTAATATCGCTCAGAACTTGCGGAAATGTAAAAGAATATAAAAATATTTAAATTATATTGCGACATAAATTATCTGGATAATATCAACTCGCGTAGTACTTCTCCCTGCTACACGTATCAGCATCCAATACGTCAACCCGTAAGTAGAACACACCGTGGAAAGTGTGTAATGTGAATTCAAAATAACGTCAGTCTTTTTTTCATTTTCACATTGCAAATATGACTTATGATTCAAGACGAATCGTTATTATCAAATACAAATCGTTCAATAATGTATTGTTTGAGGATACGAATATCGTATTATTAATAATAATTAGTAATACGCCATTCGAATACTATAATTCGTGTATGTGATATTAAAATAGATTAGTTTTTTCTTCCTTATTGGTTTATACGCAATGTGTTCTACACACGGGCTAGTTATATCCACTATTAATTATCGGGGATAAAAACAGATAAAATTCTCTTTTCAGCCGACTTCACTGATAACTTAATAAGAAGAAAATATCCCGCTTTAAAATATAGCGTCTTAAACAAGCGGGATACAAACTCTAGATATTAGCACGTAAGAATAGATTTAAAATTATAATTGTACGCGCATTAAAAAGCAGATTAAGTCAATAAACTATATAGCATGAAACGTCAATAACAGAGTTTCGCATTCTCGCAGAATTGACCTTTTAAACTTGGCACGATAACGCGAATAAAATTTCCATAAAGTCAGAAAAAATTCATTTGCATCTCGTCAAGCCCAACAATTATCCATAAAGACGAGATACGTCTCGAAAAAGAATATATATATATATATATATATATATATATATATATATATAGATAAAAAAAATATATATATATATATATATATATATAGATAAAAAAAATATATATATATATATATATATATATAGATAAAAAAAATATATATATATATATATATATATATAGATAAAAAAAATATATATATATATATATATATATATAGTGATAAAATTCTTAAAAAAAAAAAAAAAAAAAACATTTAAAATGCTCCATCGCGAATAACGTTATTAATCTAAGAATTAAGTAATATAAATGCCTACAATGTTGTATAACATCGTTTAAGTAACTTACACAGACAATATCTATGAGTAAAATTCAAAGTAAATATTTGAAATGCAATAGAACATTCGGTAGATATATGCCTACCAAACAAACGTTCGTGCTTACTGTCGGTTGGAATATCAATAATATTTCACGAACAATGGAGTGTCTCTTACTTGTTATTAATATTGTTTGTCGCTACACGTAATATATCGCGAGTCGAAACGCTTCTTTGTGTTAGACCTCTGTGGGAATGTTAACATTACGTGGAAGCTTTCTGAGAATATATAATATGTATATATGGTGTTACGTTTAATATTAAGTATTTCACTCAGAGGGAACAGCATCTCCCGAAGTGCGAGCTCGCGGAATGCGTTAATCAAATGTTAATCAAATCTCGACTGCATGCACCGAGCACGACACTTCGGGATACTGCCGAAAGACGAATTGTTGTACTAGTTTTCACGTACTTTTACGGAGTCAGGCACGAATAAACCGCCGCAGAGTAGCCCGAGCGCATCGGGCCCAGCCTTTGTGTAATGACAGAGAAGTCGGTAGCGCCTCGATGTTCAGAGCAACCGAACAGTTCTGTCATGTTTCTTGATTACTGTACGCCATCCAGCGTGCGTCGTCGCTTTCGTGAGTCAAATAGCGATAGCCGACCTTCGCCTCCAACTTCCTCAGATCGCACCACGTTTGATAATCCTGAAACATGAAACGTTTATTCAAACTGGAGAAGGAGAAGAGGCTTCAATGATATTCTCCTAACAGATGATCAAATGTGTAAAGTGGGAGTAAAATGCGACAACGCTTACTTGGAGCCACACGTGTTGTAGACTCTTGTCTACGCTGTATCTCTTCCTCTGCTTAACTTGCAGAAGATTATTGATCAGATCAATAGCTGCAAGATGACAGAAATTTTACATGTAAGTATATCGCGTCAATTTATGACATAACTAAATTAAATGAAATAATTATGTAGATATAATTATTATATTATTATATAATGTACATAATTGAATAATTTATATTAATAGTAAAATTACACCACAAATATAATTTATACTGATAACGTTACGAGAGTATGCACAATTACCATCGCTCGAAATCTCCTTCCACGGTGTCGGCGGATACATAAACGCGGCATTCTGAATCTGCTCATTTATGTCCTCCTCCTCATTGAACGGGAACGTGCCGCTCAATGACACGTAGATAATAACGCCCACGCTCCACATGTCCAGCGAGCGATTGTAGCCTTTATTTCGCAGCACTTCCGGCGCGAGGTAAGCCGGCGTGCCGACGACGCTGCGGCGGAAGCTCTTCTCGCCGATAATCCGCGCGAATCCGAAGTCGCAGAGCTTCACCTGCGTGAAGTCTGTATCGCTGCTCAACAACACGTTCTCCGGCTTCAAGTCGCAGTGCACGATGTTCTTACTGTGGAGGTGCTTCAACGCCACTAGAATCTGCGTGATCAGGAACTTGGTGATCCGCTCGCTGAGTCGTCCTCGCTCGGAGTTCAAGATCATCTCTAGCATGTCGCCTTTCAGCTTCTCCATCACCACGAATATTCGCTCGGGCGTCTCGAACATACGTTCGAGATTCACCACGCCGCTGTGCGACAGATTCTGCAGGATCGCCACCTCGTTCTTCAGCTGCGCCTCTTGCTTCGTAGGGAAGCGCAGTTTGTCGATGACCTTGATGGCGACCGCGCGACCGGTCTTGCGATGAACGCCACCGTAGACTATGCCGAACTGACCGGATCCCAACACCTCGTCCGGAAAGATCTGATACAACTGCGACATGTCAGTGATGTTCTCCTCCGGCTCGGTGGACTCCTCTTGATCTGCAACATTAAGCGCGTGCGATTACCTACGGTTACATCCGCAAGCGGTGAACAGCACAGAGGTGTGTCTGCAGCGAATAAATACGCTTCATTCGTTGTATCACATACGTAACGGCATGAAAGAGACAACATGAAAGTAACAACAAAAGGAAGGCGTGATAGAGATCTCGTGTGCTATCATCTCGCCCGGAGTGTTATATGATAGCGAACTAAATATACATACTAGTCGACACAGTTACAGGCATAAGTGCTTGTCTAATAGTAGTTTCCCACGATCTAGCTATATGAGCTCCGATACCGCTCTCTGGAGGAGAGACTTGGCCGCAATTCTGTCCGTATGATGGATCCTCTCCAACATAGTAATCGACATTGGCAGTTTTTAGCTCAAAGCAATGCATTATATCTACAATATAAGACAGGCAGTGTGTAAGAGGTCTAACCAAGAGAAAGAGGGAAAGAAGCTAGTTTGTGTTTAACACGTGAAAAATCTCAAAGGAAAAATAAACAGAAATAATAATAATAATAATAATAATAATAATAAATAAGTAAAAGATATATGCACTTAAGGCGAAACAAGACTAGGTCTAAATTCGCGAACAAGAAGAACGTACATGAACGAGGCGTTTTAGCGGTTTCGATCGCTGTGATCTCGGCCAATGGTATTTCCTTGTAATATTTCGAACTAGTTTCACTTTGGAACAGCGTTATAGACTTTGTGTCGAGCCGCCAATAATGCTTCTTCCTCTGGAAAGGACATTTCAAGCCGTCAATAATTCGCAAGAATGGAGAGTGCTAAATTTATATACGATCTGAACAATCATACGCTAAGGGAAAGGTATAATGTCGTTGTAATGTTTCCCTGCAAATACTCACGATCGGGTCGCGATGCGTGAAATGCACCATCCAGCCTTCTTTCAATACTTTAGAACCGCGTCTTTTAGTGTGCTTTACGCTTTGTACTATCCGCATTAGTGGAATGTTGTTACTTGGCGTGGAACTACAACTGTTTCACAATAAAAAGAGAAAAGATGTTGACGCGTTGCGTATCTACAAACGTGAAAATACCAAAGCAATCATCATTGAAGCAAAACACTCACCTCGACGGTCGAGACTTCTGGTTGTCGTCGTAAGCAATGTCATCGTTACTCTGAACGTGATCCTGCAAATTTTATTCCGTACGTTTACTTTCTTGCTTTACGATCTTGAAAAATATCGTGCAAAACAGGACGACTTACCGTGTAATCGTTGGGTATCTTGTTTTCATCGTTCGTGAACGACGCGTCCTGCGAAGGTGGCGACGATTCCGTGTCACTGTCAGCGTCGACTTCCTCACTCCTGATATCACATTTGGCTTCTAATTCGCTGCCGACACCGCTGTCCGGATATTCACCTGCGTGTATTTCAATCTATTACGCATTCACACGGAAAGATATGGTAACATTTCTTTGTAGAAGGAAATAATCGGCTACCTATAGTGTCTCGTAGATTTTCTCCGGTACAGTCTTTTGGTATTTTATCCATACACTTTTTGTGCGTATTGTATTGGCAATCTTTACATTGTAGGCCTTGCTTAAATATACCCTTCAGCAACTTTTTACAGTGTCCACATACGGTCGGACGAGTATACGTGTGTACTACGAATGTGTGCGGGATTTTAATTCGCGTTGCGAGCTCTCGCTCAACCCAGACAGGTCGTCCTCCTAACGACGGTGTGGGAGATGGTTTTGGTGCCATTATACTCGGTATCGCCTACAAGTACACAGCACACGTTTATATTCATGACATACACAGAGAGAATTTCGTGCAAATGAAAACAGAAAAATAATAAGAAAAATGTCAATCATATTTATTTGCGTTCGCAAAAGAATACATAAAAGGTGAATGTGATTTTCCCTCATACCAAAGTACTATTATTTTGGCTTGTGTTAGGCGTATTATTTGAACTATGATTATCGTCAGTGATGCTGGTCAGACTACTGGTTGAGCCTTGGCTCGGCGATCTCGGCACGTTTAGCATCGCCGAACTGCGTCTCCGCTGACTCGCATCTTGCGAGCAGTTGTTCGGCACTTTAATAACGCATCTCTTGTGGTAGTTCATGCCACAACCTGCAGCAAAAACGCGTTGTAAGTATTGAGTAAAAGTATGAACATGAATAAAAATACGAAGCGGATATCTGTGTGAGTTTTAGCGCATTGTTGATGACGGTTTCGCTCAAATATTCAGAAACATCGATTTACCTTCGCACTTGAGACCTTGCCGAACAAGCCCGAACAGCATTTCGCCGCAGAAATCGCAGAACGTCGGGACCTTGTAGGAATGTACTGCTAAAGCATGAGGACGAATGGGAATGTATTCGCTTGGCACTTGTGCTGAAACATCGCAGAGCAATTTCTCACATTATCAACAGGACTATGCAGATTTCACGAGTCAAGGTGAATGAGACGCGAGGTGAGAGTGAGGTCCTCTTACTCACCAGTCAATACGATTTCTACTAGAGTCTCGTCAACCACTTCCGTAGCGTTTGTGATAAGTTGTAGAACATTTGTGGAACTGTAGTCGTGCTTGAACAGAAGTAATCTCTCGAAGAGGTGGTTTAAGCCGTGCTCTGGACACTTGGTGTTTATAAAATCACAGGCGAGATCTTTCAGGGCCTTGAGAGTCAGCGTGCTACTGTCGACGGTGACTGTGTCACGCGTCAGACCGAACTGGAATAAAAATGTTACTTCCGCTCCTTCCATGATGTTTCGCGGTTCTTTCCTGCAATACACATATAAGATTGATGAAGAAACTGATGCTTACGAAATTAGCTAAAGATACTTTCTCAAAATTCGAACACTTGTTAAATTATTAACAATTAATCTCTTCTCCATTTTTCGTTACGTCAAAAAAGACTGATGGAAAGGAAATAGTAAATAAACACAATAAAACCAACCATTAGTAATATTACATCAATGTTATAATTGTCTACTCAATGATATGTGCAACACATGTTATACTTCACTTATATTATTGAAAATAAGAAGTTATATATATAATTTTTAGTTGATATTTACTGGCAAGAAATCACACTTTTAAACTCTTTTTATAAGCTTGCTGATTGTGTACCAAATACATTTAGAAGCACTTTTATCAATCGCAAGAGAGAGTTTAGAATAATAGCTTAGAGGAATATTCCTTCTCAATAAACATCAACTAAAAATAACATTATATCAATATTATAATTTCCCACTCAGCGATGTAACTATTACATGAAACATGTGTTATCAGTACTTATATTATTGAGTGGGAAGTTATAATATTGACGTAATGTTACTTTTAGTTGGTGTTCATGGGAAAGGAGTTATATTTTTAGGTCTTTATTATAAACTCTCTTTCATCGATAGAAGTGCTTCTAAATATATCTCATAAGCTTTCTGATTGGTTTATAAGCATACTTAGAGGCACTGTTGTCAGTAAAAAAAAAAGAAGAGCAGAACAAGAGTCTTAGAGAATAATGTAAGGTCTTTGGAACGAGATAGAAGTAATCCGGACATGTAACAGGTGTACACGACAGAATAATTAATTAAATGGGAAGACAGCGCGCCACAAATCGCACGCGAAAAACGCTAATGATCAAAGACGTTTACCGTTCGTCACTAGCTATCTACAGGTAAGCATGATCGAGTCACTTATTACGTTGCCGTACGTCGAATTCCCGACGCGAAGGCGTCGACATAGAACGCGCCTCCTCTTCCTGTGCAACGGAATTTTATTAGCCGCCTGACAAGTTCCCCGAAGAGGAATGACAGCGCTGTAGAGCGCAACAACAATCGAAGAAAGACGTGATAATTCGCCGCGGGCTGGATATAACGCCTCGATAACGACGCGGCTTATCCGCTTAGCGCGAAACAAATAATTTCGTAATCCGGTCAATTCGGCGAATTCGATCGCGCGAATTCTCGCGAAGCGTAAAAACGAAGGAAGGAAGAAGGGGGAGAGAGAAAGAGAGAAAGAAAAGACGAGAAAGAGTAAGAAAGACAGAGAGAATGGGGGAAAAAATCGGCTAACAGGAGAACCGTACGCGAGTACACGCCGTTCTTCGCGTGACGGCTTTTTCTTTGACGGGGAATTACATCTTACGTACTTCCTCGTGCGCCTTGGACGACCTCACAGACGACCCGTGCAGTAGACGCGGCTGCTTTCCTCCTCGAACCGGAATCAGGATCGCGGCGGCATAATTGATAAGGCGGACGCAGCTCGAGAGAGAGAGAGAAGGCAAGCAGACAGACAGACAGACAAGCAAGCAGGCAGGCAGGCAGGCAGGCAGGCAGGCAGGCAGGCAGGCAGGCAGTCAATCAGTCAGCCAGCCAGGTGTCACCGTGCGCGGCGGCGGTGGCGGCGGCGTCGTCGTCAAGTCCATGCCTGACACACATTCGCCGATGACATTTTACAGTTATCTCCAGGTGACCGACCCACGTTGACGTAGTAAAGCTTCCCTCGGTGCCAGTTGTTAGCCAACCACCCAGTCAGCTAGCCCGCCAGCTCGAGCCAGCCGCTCAGTCAACCAGCCACAGCTAACCACAGCTAGCTAGCCAGCGAGCAGCTACTCGGCGTTAATCCGTCGCGACTACTCGCTTTCCATTTCCGGGGTCCCTCTAGCTAGCAGCAGCGCGCCCTGAATAGAACCGAGGCGGCATCTGAAGCGTACGCGACACCGGTCAATGGGCTGACGCATCACACAGCGTGGTCAATCGCGTACGATCGCGTGTCGCACTGAACGACCTCTCGGTGAACGATCCGTCGCGTCGGAATCCCGCACGAGAACGCATTCTGTATCGCGCGCTTTAACTTTAACTGAAAGTCAAGATCGAGACATGAGACTTTGAATATGTCAAATCTCGAGTTACAAATATTTTCATTCAAAGATACAAGTGTGTGCGAGAGAGAAAGGGGTAAGAGAGAGTAGGAATCGCCAAGTTCAATGAGTTTTAAATGAAAAATTTTACCTGCGAACAAAAATCTGTGGAAATGGCCCACTGGAAGCCATCTTTTCTTTTACTTGAATTTAGCACTTTATTACGACTTATCTTCGACGTAAAGCGCATGCGCGCAGAACCCGATTCGTTGAGAACACAATTCAAACTGCTGAGATTGCTGAGCGACTTTGTAAAACGTCTACCGCAATCTGAAGTTCAACAAAGAGTAAAACAGATATATTTTATTTGTAAATGTAAGAGATAATAAAGATAATAAAGAAAGCCTTGCGCAAGTACTTGTTCCAGAGATATTACATACCTAAACAGAACGCGAAGTAAATGCAGACACAAGTAGCTGTCAATCTGCTGACATATTGCTAAGTTCTTCTGTTTTGGATATGTTTTAAAGACGAAGAGAAAAATCTCACATCGTTGGTGCCGGTTGATCACCGCACATGCATGGGAATTCTCTCTATACCTGGATTGGAGCAAAGAATAACAGGAACTTTCTCACGCATGCGTGTTAGAATGTAATCTCAATAATGTATCAAGTTCATGGGAAAATAGGTGCCTTTGGGCCTTAAAATAGTTCTCTGATGTGTAAGAAAATTAATTATTACTTTTTCCTCAGTGGCTTCTTCTTGAATATTTGTACTCGTACTTAGCAAATAATATCAATAAATACACTTAGACTTTCAATATTCACTGTGTCAAAACTGAAAATTTGTAGTTCACATTACGTATCCTATAGATTTTCAGTGCTGGCAGTGAATGCAGTGAATGCAGTCTTATCAGTACTAACTTGTGTACTTATCTATTTCCGCTGATTTGAATCCAATCAGGAAGTCAAACATGAATCATTTTCTCCAGAGTACAAGATGAAAAATCTAACCTTCAAAATATATAGAAATGTTTATTTCATGTTTTTTTCATAAATTTATATTGGAAGAGATTCATGATTACCTTCGAGTACAGCAGACTTATACACTTTTCATGAAAAAAAATTACACAATTGATAAATAAAATCGAAAAGATTGATGCTCAGAACTTTTGCGCCAATACCCCAAACACTTCGTATGTCACTGAATTCGCCGCAATCTGCGGCGCGCATATACGGAGTTGCGTTCCAAAATCCTACTCGACGGGTAAAGTGCAACATTCAATTAACCAATCATGATAAAGAAATCTTGTTTCCTTCGTTCTGATTGGTCAATTAAATGATAATCTATCCGGTCGAGTAGGATTTTAGAACGCAACCCGGAAAAGTATTCGAGGGTGGGAGATACAATTTCGCGTGGCACTCGTCGCGTGGTAGCGTGTCTTCGTAACCTCTCGGTGCGTGCACACCGGATTGCTCGGTTATTGAACAAGATCTGCGGCCTCGTCTCTTTCATTTGATTGAGATAGTTCAGATGCGGCGTAGTTCCCGAAGTAGCTGCGAAAGTTGAAATAGTTGATTGAGGAGAAAAGGATTCAAAAAGGAGAAAGGGTAACCTTTTGTCTTGGATAAAATTCCCATCAACGGGGAAAAAAAGGAGAAGTCAACATGGATCTTACACTTCGTGTCAATTCTTACGATCCTTCGAAAGGTATGATGTTTCTCACAATCGAATTCACTTGAACGTCATCTTGAATAACTTGTTCCAGATGTTTCACTAAAAACAAAAAAAGTATCATGACTGTGTTATACAGTTAGAATACTATATTGTTAAATATTAACAATAAAACGTTGAAAATTACATATCACAAGATATGATATTTTTTACAATGATGCAATAACTTTACTCCCAGATAATACAGAGAATTCAAAAAAAGTTTAGTCGTATGTTACCAATTCTGAGTTCATTTTCAGGTGCAAAAAGAATTCTTCAGAGTTTACTTTAATGAAAAGAATTCTTTTTGCATCTAAAAATGAACTCAAAATTGGTGACATATGATTGAATTCTTTTTGAATTTTCTGTGCTATCTTACTGGGATCTGTGAGTTTTTACATTTGTTATCAAGTATTGCAGGATACAAAAATATATTGCATTTGTTATCAAATGTTGCATCATGCAAAAGTATATTGCATTTGTTATCAAATGTTGTATCATGCAAAAGTATAGATCTTTATATCATATGTCATTTATATATTGATATTAAGTTGTCTCAAATTGCAATCTTTTTTTATAGAAGTGATAATAATCACCGAGCTGATTAAATCTCAAAGTCAGCATAATGTGACAGTAATCTGGCACAAAGAATTAGAAGAACAAGGAAGGATTGGTTTATATGACAAAAGTGATAAACTACTAGCAAAACATCATAACAATATTGCTCGTTGTTTGGCAAGAACATTGGATCCAGAGCTTTATGGTAAGAATCTGTAGATAATTTTATGAAATCAAATATGTTACAAGAAAGTCTAGTTAAAAACTACTTTGGTTATAAAATGTTATGATAAAATTTTATATTTGTACTAGGTGGCAATTTGGCTCAAGAAAGGACAGAAGTTGATCATTGGATATCATTTTCAATTGGACTGTTGCCAGATGTATTGGATTCATCTAGTCTTGACTATTTGGATTGTATACTACAAACACGGACATGGCTTGTCAGCAAAAGGATCACACTAGCTGATGTTTATGTGTTCTGTGCTCTGTTGAACAGAGATTTTGTCAAGATGTATGGTAAAAAGTATCGCAACATCAGCAGATGGTTCGAGCAGACATCGATGCATGAAGATGTTCGCGCGGGATTATATCAGGTTGAGTCAAACAGTGTTGCACCTATTAAGCCAGTGATGAATATTAGGAAACAGGAGGGTAAATTTATCGATTTACCTGGAGCAGAGATGGGGAAGGTAAAATCACAGGATAAATTTTGCCTGATTTGTGTGTATATGTTCCTTCATTTTCAATAACTTTTAAATCTTGTAATCCTTATATGCTTTTTGCTTCAGGTAGTGGTGAGATTCCCGCCCGAGGCAAGTGGTTACTTGCATATCGGTCACGCCAAAGCAGCTCTCTTGAACCAATATTACGCTGAGACTTTCCAAGGACAACTCATTATGAGGTTCGACGATACCAATCCGGCGAAAGAAACTGTGGAATTCGAGGACGCCATACTGGAGGACTTGAAGTTGCTGCAAATCAAGCCTGATCGGTTCACGCACACCTCGGACTATTTCAATGTGATAGAAAAGTACTGCACAGCTCTGATCAAAAGTGGGCACGCGTATGTGGACGATACCCCGGCGCAAATCATGAAAGAGCAACGCGAACAAAAAGTGAAATCGGACAACCGCGATAACCGTGAGTGGTCGACTCGACGAAGCTTTCCAAATGTTATCAAATTCTTCAGCTAACGATCGATGACAATGATGTTTTATTTTTACAGCCGTTGAAAAAAATCTCGCGTTATGGGACGAGATGCGACGCGGCACCAAGAAAGGTCAGGAGTGCTGTGTTCGAGCGAAGATTGATTACGAGTCGGTGAACGGATGCATGCGCGACCCAACAATCTATCGTTGCAAGTCGGAGCCTCATCCACGTACTGGAGACAAATACAAGTATTTGCATATTATTCAAGCGTTTTGATACAACTCAGTAAAATGTACTATCAAATATTAGCTAAAACGTATCAAGCCGTAACAATGACTTGAATTTTTTCTTTCTATTCCTGTTAGGGTGTATCCCACGTACGATTTCGCCTGTCCGATTGTCGACTCTATCGAGAACGTCACCCACACGCTACGCACAATGGAGTATCGTGACCGAGATCCCCAGTTCTTTTGGATACTGGAAGCTCTGGGACTCCGTAAACCGTACATCTGGGAATATTCACGTCTAAATATGACTCACACGGTTCTGTCTAAACGAAAGCTCACGTGGTTCGTCAATGAAGATTTGGTGGACGGATGGGACGACCCGCGCTTCCCGACAGTGAGAGGTATTTTGAGACGAGGAATGACGGTCGAGGGTTTGAAGCAATTCATCATCGCGCAAGGTAGTTCCAAATCTGTGGTCTTTATGCAGTGGGATAAGATCTGGGCTTTCAACAAAAAAGTCATCGATCCAGTCGCTGTTCGGTACTTTGAATATCTTTAAAAATTTTTCCCCATGACGAAATCTTTTCCTAATCTTTCAACATATCTGTTACAGATACACCGCGTTGGATAACGACAAAACCGTACCGGTTGAGGTAGTGGACGCTAAGGAAGAATGGTTAACTGTGCAAAATCATCCTAAAGATCCGTCCAAAGGTTCTAAGCGGGTGCGAGTGGGTCCTAAGATACTTATAGAGAAGGACGATGCCGAGAGTTTGGTCGAGGGACAAAACACGACCTTTATTAGCTGGGGTAATCTAATGATAAAGAAGATCGAGAAGAAGAACGGTGTCGTTGTGAGTGTGCAGGCGTCGTTGAATCTGAACGACAAGAATTACAAAGACACCTTGAAAATTACGTGGTTGGCTGCGCCATTGGCAGCTGAATCCGGCACTGAGAAGGTGGAAGACGCTAACGCGATATCATGTTATGCTGTTTACTTCGATCACATCATGAGCGTGCCGATCCTAGGCAAAGATGACGACTTCAAGGACTTTGTCGCAAAGGACACGAGAAAAGAGGTCGAGATGCTGGGCGAGGTGGAGCTCAAGCGCGTGAAGAAGGGAGAGATAATCGAACTTCGAAGAAAAGGTTTCTTCATATGCGACGTTCCTTATGCACAAGTCAGTCCTTACTCGTCGCGAGAGCAGCCCGTCATATTGTTCCATATACCCGACGGACGCATGGCAGCGCCTTCTAAAACTCCGGTCGCAAATACTGTTGTTACTGTAGCAAACGTAACTGCACCAAGCATTAATGTAGCCAAAGATCAAATAACGAATGAGCAAACGAACGCGCACGTTATCAACGAGAAAATTATCGCCCAAGGAGATAAAGTACGACGTTTGAAAGCCGAGAAGGCGGACAAAGCTACTGTCAGTGCCGAAGTTAAGGTTCTCTTGGCTTTGAAAGCAGAATATAAGACCAGCACTGGGGAGGATTGGAAACCTGGTGTTGTCCCTGAAGCACCGAAAACTGAGAAAAATGACACGGCAGAGCTGTCAAAGGAAATTGCTCAGCAGCAGAATAAAATCGCCGAGCTACAGAAACAGATGGACGAGGAGTTGAAGAAATTGCAAGATCTAGAGGCCAAACGTAACAAGGAAACCGACGAAAGCAATCAGAAAGATCTCACGCAGAAGCGACAAGACAATAAGGCGAAACAGATGAAAAGCGGTAAAGAGAAACCAATTCAAACTGCCGTGACTAATACCAACGATACGAAGACAGATAATAAAGAAGTAGCAGATAGAGTATCTCAAGAAATACAGAAGCAAGGTGACAAAGTGCGGAGTCTGAAGAGCTCGAAAGCTGAAAAGAGCGTGATCGATCGGGAGGTGAAGGTTCTTCTATCCCTGAAGAGCGATTACAAGAACGTGACCGGTCAGGATTGGAAACCCGCGGTGTCGTCGGACACAACGCCTAAGAAGAAGAAGAAAGAAGAGCAAACTAAGCCTGGTAAAACGGCGGAGAAGGAAGTCGCAAAAGCGGCCACGAAGGACACGAGCAAAACCGGCACGAGATTGGGACTGGAAGTGAAGAAATTGGAGAATTTCTTTGACTGGTACTCCCAAGTCATCACGAAGAGCGGCATGATCGAGTATTACGACGTGTCTGGATGCTACGTCCTCCGTCCGTGGAGCTTCGCGATATGGAAGATCGTGAAGGAGTACATCGACCGGGACATCACCGCGCTCGGCGTGCAAGAATGCTACTTCCCGATCTTCGTGACTCGTTCCGTGCTGGAGAAAGAGAAGGCACATATCGCCGACTTCGCGCCGGAGGTTGCCTGGGTGACGAAGTGCGGCGAGTCGGATCTGGCGGAACCGGTGGCGATACGACCTACTTCCGAAACCGTCATGTATCCGGCTTACGCCAAGTGGTTGAGGTCGGACACCGAGTTGCCGCTCAAGCTCAATCAGTGGAACAACGTTGTGGTAATTGTTGTCTTCCTTGTAATTGATGATGTGAATTTCAACGATCTAGTATGGATAGAGCTGGGAAATAACGCATCTTTTAAATGTGTTATACTATTACATTTTTAATGTCATTGTACTATTACAAGTTATAAGGTTGATGCGAAAGATATCTTACTTTTTTATTAAATTCTCATAAGTGTGGATATTAAAAGGAAAATCTCCGTTAGATGTCTAAAGAATACCAAGTCGATATTGTTCATTTCATTCGTTAAAATTAATAATCTCTCGACATTAGAATATTTTGTTTTCTTAGCAAACACGACAAATCTTTCACACCAATCTAAAATAAAACTGTCAGTGTCTGGACACGTACCTAATCCTGAAGATTCTTATTGTCTTGGTCTTTAAATAAGACTATTTAAGCTTTCATAAATATATTGAAAGTGTATACTCATTTCCAGAGATGGGAATTCAAAGATCCCAAACCGTTTCTACGTACCCGAGAATTTCTGTGGCAAGAAGGCCATACCGCCTTTGCCACGAAGGAAGAAGCGGACGAAGAAGTTTTAGTCATTTTGGACTTGTATAGAAGAGTCTACGAAGATCTGCTGGCGGTGCCTGTCGTAAAGGGCAGGAAGACGGAGAAGGAGAAGTTTGCCGGTGGCGATTACACCACTACCGTCGAGGCCTTCATCTCAGTGAGCGGACGTGCGATACAAGGCGCGACCAGTCATCATCTAGGCCAAAACTTCTCGAAGATGTTCAGTATTCAGGTGGAAGGCGCCACAGAAAGCGACGAGAAGACGTTTGTCTATCAGAATTCGTGGGGCCTAACTACGCGGACGATTGGAGTCATGATAATGGTCAGTGAAATGATCATCGTTGCCTAAAAATAGCAGAAAGTTAAAGAGAACTGGCAAATAAAAGCTTACTCTTCTGAACATAGCCAATATGTTGTTTCGCGAGTTATAAATAACTGTACAACAAATTTATATACTTGTCTCTGTTAGGTGCACGGAGACGATAGAGGTTTAGTATTACCGCCGATGGTGGCGACCATTCAAGCTATCGTCGTTCCATGCGGCATCACTGCGAGCACGACAACGGAGCAGAGAGAACAGCTTCAGTCCGAGTGCGTTAAGCTGCTCGACGAACTGAGCAAGAGCGGTAAATTCAGGGTGAAGGGAGACTTTAGGAGCAACCGTACGCCTGGATGGAAGTTCAATCATTGGGAACTGAGGGGGGTGCCTGTAAGAATAGAATTAGGCCCGGCGGAAGTAGAGAAACATCAGGTCACGTTTGTGTGTAGAGACAACTTGGAAAGACATACTACTTCGAGGGATCAAGTGATTCAGGCGTTGGATTCCTTGCTAAAAGATATACAGTCGAGATTACTCAGCAAGTAAGTGTCGCTTAATGATTTTCAATGATCATTTTCCTCCAACTGCACAGTTCTTGTGTTTTTTTTTTCTTTTTTCTTATTGATAACGTGCGATTTGGTCTATTTGTAGTGCGAGGAAAGATCTCGATGCGCACATCAAGCGAGCTGAAACTTGGGCTGATTTTCGTCATCAGCTCAATAACAATAATTTGTTATTGTCACCCTTCTGCGGAGAGTCGGCCTGCGAGGATAAGATCAAAGCGGACAGCGCAAGGTATGTTTCGAAACAGTCTTCTTTCATCAGTTCGTTTAAGATATGTTGAGACGAATGCTTACGACTAATTACAGAGAGGTTAGTGACGAGGAGGTTGGAGGGCTGTCGATGGGCGCGAAGAGTCTCTGCATACCTTTCCAACAGCCGGAGTTGACTAAACCACTGAACGAGATGAGGTGCATTCATGAAAGTTGCAAGAACAAACCGAAGTTTTATACTCTTTTCGGACGTAGCTATTAAAACGTCGATGAAAACGAAGTTGAATGAAATGAAGAATCAGTCTATTTCGAGTTCATTTTGATACGTGAGTGATACGTGAATTTTACAATCGATTGTATAATGATTCGAAGATTACGCCGAGATTATAGTCGCATTTTTAATTTAATTCGTATGATTACGACATATATATCAGTTGTATTTTCTGTTATACCTTCCAGATTCTTTAAAATACAATAAATCATCCGATATCGACCATTATTCGATAGAACGTTACCCGATGTACCTACCAAAAATTTCGAAATTTTTGACAAAAACTATTTCCCTTCATCTTAAAATCTGTTGGTCTTAGACACTCTGTATACACTAAACTATAACAGTTTTAATAGTTACTAATTGAAAATTCGATACTCCGCGTAATGAAACGACGCGACAGCCGCAGAAAACCATCTGCGTGATGGTTTCGCCGAGAATCGCGACGAGAACCGATTCGAGATCGCTGTATACGATCAATCGCGGCCACGTCACGCGGTGTCAATTGTTTTTCCACTTCCAAGTATAATGGCTACGCTCGAATGAGACGCGGATCTTTACCTTCCGCCTTCCGTCGCACATCAGGCGCACCAGGCTGGTCCCGGCGTCCAAAATTCTAAGTACATTCGCAGCCGTCCTCAAATGACCGTACGGAGACGCCTCGTCGCCGCAAGCGTCGCTTTGATTCCACGGTAACGAGAGGTAACCCACGCAGTGCCACCGTCATCGGTGTGCTCGTATCCGGGCGGAATTCTCGTCGACGACTTGCCACCGTCCGATTCAGAGAGCGGACGAGAGCGGTGCCGCGAGGAAGGAAGCGAGATCGGAGATAAATTCTCAGTGACGCACCACCACCTCCGAGGAAACTCGCAGTGGGTTGGCGAGAGAGAACGATTGCAAGGATCGAAGGCTCGGCCGACTCTCCTCCAGGGTCGAAGTGATGAAGGGTCGATGAAGGAGCACTGGCATGGCCACGCGACTCAGTCCCCGAAACTCGGAGGTCAACGCTCTCGAACAGCGGGGCTATCTCATCGGCAAGAAGATCGGACAGGTTGTTTATCTTCTGCACCTCGTTCTTCTCTGTTCGTTCACCTCGAGCTCTTCCCTTTTCCCTTTTCACTCCGGCTGCTCTCCGGCGTGACGCCGGAATTGCTCTCGAGGCGTAAACTTTCAGACGAAATTGCAGTTTCGTCCTTTCTATCTTCGAGAACGAGGATTTTTTTCTTGTATCCCCATTTGCACTATTCGACTGCCACGGTCGGTTCTCCAGAGTGCATAAGACCCCGATGAGACATTTGACGCGTCATTGTACGAAGCCGACGGTTTTCAGGGATCTTACGCGACTGTTCATCTGGCGGAGTATGTCGATGGGACAAGCTCCAAGAAGATGCGTCTGGCCTGCAAGATCTTCGATAAAGAGAAAGCGCCACCCGACTTCCTGGACAAATTCTTTCCCCGCGAGCTTGAAATTCTGACAAAGATAGAAAATCCGCATATAATTCAAGTAACACACATCGGGATCATCAGACAAATTCTCTCCGCGTCAATAAGAAAGGGATAATTCCGAAAGTTCTTCCAAAAGCATCTCTTGATTCTCTTAAAAAGGCCGATTAGTTGAAACTCGTTTGTGAAGTTTCACTTTTTGAATTTTTGTCGCTTGTAAGATATTTTAGTGATGTCAATTTGGATAGCCGAATGTTCGAGCAGTATTTATACAAGTTTGTTTAGATACTATCCAGCTAGAGAAATATCCGGTCTACTGACAGCATTAATTCCAATCCGCGAACGCGACTGCATTTCGCGCTCGACACCTTCGATTTTCCACCATAATGTCTTAACGTCTCGTCGACCGCTGTGATCATGTGCGCAGGTACACAGTATCCTGCAGCGCGGTCCACGTGTTTTCATCTTCATGCGCTACGCCGACAACGGCGACCTGCTCGACTTCGTGAAGAATAATGGCATAGTGCCGGAGCAGCAGTCGCGGCTGTGGTTCCGCCAAATGGCCTCTGGCTTGCATTACTTGCACAGCAAGAACATCGCCCACCGAGACCTCAAGTGCGAGAACATACTCCTGTCGCGAAAGTTCAATGTGAAACTGGCGGACTTCGGTTTCGCCAGGTTCTGCGTGGACCATGAGGGCAGGCGAGTGCTCAGTCAGACGTACTGCGGCTCGGCGGCGTACGCCGCGCCGGAAGTCGTCGCCGGCACTCCTTACAATCCGAAACTGGCGGACGTGTGGTCGCTCGGCATCATCCTCTTCATCATGCTCAACGCCCGGATGCCGTTCGACGACACGAATCTGCCGAAGCTCCTCAAGGACCAGATGTCGCGCAACTGGATCTTCCGCTCGCGCGTCCGCAGCACCGTGTCCGCGCTCGCCAAGAGCATCGTCCGCCAGATCCTCGAGCCGGACATGACCCTGCGGCTGACTCTCGAGCGGGTGCTGGGCCACGAGTGGGTGAGGACGAAGAAGGAGAAGCCGGGCTTCCTCGCCGGAAGACTGGTCCATTCGGCGCCGCCAAGCCACACTCCGGTTATGACCCATGAAATTAATTACACGGAGAGAATATTATAGTTTTTTTTTTTTTTCATATAAAATCTTTTCAATTCTTTTACTATGTTTCTGATAGTCCAGAAAAATAGACTGTCAATAAGGTTTGCCTCTCTAAGGAACACGGTAAATTTCGCTGGAAACATAGCAAATGTTTTAATAGAACTTTTCAGTTTCTATATGTAAGAATAGTTCCTAAAATATGAAAGGATAGTAACTTTTTGCAGAATGACGATCTACTCCTCAATTACAAAATCCTATAGTGATTTTTACTATAAAATTCTCTCTGTGTATTACCCGTAATTACAGACATTGCCTTAGAATTCTAAAGATCGTTTCGATTGTGCGACTGTCTTTCCGACTAAAGATAAGACGGAGGAACAATCTTGCACTTTTTGACGCAGAGATTGTATAAGAGACATAAAGAATCGTCTTTGTGTGTTGTGTGCGTGTATAATCAGATGTGTGGAATCGATAACCTGGACGGCTCAGCTATCGTAGGCACCAGAAACATAGCGAGGGCGTTCCCAACTCTGAGAAATTCGGACAATCAGCGTCAAGCGTCCTCGAAGGCGGTGAGCAGCTCAGAGAAAGATCCGCAGCTGCCCATCACCGTTGGATAAAAGGAGAGGATTCGTCTGATATTTTTGAAGATATGCAAACACGGTAACATCAAGAGATCACGCGAGGAACTTGGAAAATAATTTTGGAAAATATTTACATCATGTAAACGAATATTATTTGTTGATTCGAATGTTATATTTGATATTAAATATCGCTTGAAATTAACCTTCCTTTCTCACGACGGAGAAGAATAAAGATTAGGAAAATTCGCGACGCGTATTAATGATAAGTTTATTATACAGTTACTGTCTATTAATATACAAAACTATACCTTGTTTTTTTTTTGGTTACATATACATTTAACGCGATATCTCGTGTGAATATTTTATGTAACGATATAATTGATATAGTTATTTTCTATATCTAATTTACATTAAAATAACAAATAATTTACACGATTCGATATTTCACGCCGTCATAGTCGAGCTCGTCATATTTCGTATAGCACCTTGTTTAACAATGAGATAACACTGACACGCAGGTAAAATCGCAATTACCTGTTCGAGTTTCACGATAATAGACGAGTGAAACGTTATTGTAACGTCGCGACATGTACTGCCAGAATTTTATCTGTGTGTGCGTTTGACGTACCTGAGTGAGGCTCGGTATAGTTAACGACGGATTCTTCGTGAGTAGAAAAAATCTCGTATAAAAGTACAATTCATATTTCGTAAACTTCTCTAAAAGAATCATCATGTTTACTTTTTTTCCAGTAATCGCAAATTTATAAAACTGAATTTTTCACGGAAAAAGGTCGATGATTTTGATATTACCGCTATTATACTATTAATAGAAGTTTGTCGTATTTTACATGATTACGGCCACATCGGTGAATATTCCTCTCGAATTATCTAGTCTCATCGAGTAAAAGTAATTCTACGATCGCTAAAATGGACTTCTTCATTGCGCTCGTTCGTAAAAGGCGCGCAGTGTTTTCTATTTACAGCCTACAGTCCATTAAAATCCGACGGGCAGGTTTAGCTATTTTTACAAATGTCAGCCGTTTTATGAACGGCTACGTTTTACTAAACGTCCGTCCTTGAAACAGACGCTCGTCATTGACGCGATGCGCGTAAATAAGTCGGCAGAACGCGTGCCTTATCGTCGCTCGTTAGAAGAGATGCGTTAGAGAACTTCTTTATACACACTCGTCGTAGATCGCGTTTGTCGCGTTATTAGACCCATCCACCAGTTAGTTTGTGGAACATCTCCTCGTTCAACGTCTGATTCGCTTCCTTGGAACGCATCGACAAGAAGATGTAGCCTCCTATAAACTCGTGGACGACTTTGCAATCGGCCGATTGGCACTCGAAGATAATATTCTCTTCTTCGAACTGTACCATCATGTGCTTCACCTCCCAGTTGACGTTCCATGCCTGCGAAAGAGACAAGATCGAACGTCTTCGCTTTGTTCTCATGACTATATGCAGTACGCTATCTTTGAGTAAAATTTTAACATTTATTAGACCAATACTCATTATATTCCGTTGTATCTGGATATTATAAAGTACAATATGAGTATATCGTAATATATAATATTTATTATATTAAATATAAAACATATATATTCTCGCAAGCTACCTTAAAATGATAAATTGGACGAATAATTAATAAACCGAAATTATAGAAAGCTCCTTTTGTCTAACTAACAGAAATATTTGAAAGACCTATAATCCGTGCTTGGCTCCTTATAGGCCTTTCAAATATTTCTGAATAATTAATAGTTATTATATATACACATATCCAGACACACATGAATAATTAGAAAGATTAACGAATTTTGGTCTGGTAAATATTGAGACTTTACTAAAACTTAATATGACGTGAGTACATGAATTAATACGCACCTTCATGGTATTATACCTCCAGGTCTTCAGGTGATCGCCGCTGTGAAGCTCCATCCGCATTAGCCTGTTGTTGGCGATGCCGAGCAGCTCGTCCTTACTTTTGCCGGTAAATCGCACGATGAAAAGAGAAATACCGTATTCTGGTAAAGACTGCCAGGCTTTGATGTAATTCAGTTTTGCTTCGATGAGCGGCAGATCTTTGACGTTCGCGTGCGCCTCTAAGATCCTCTGGACCAGCTGTACGAGAAGAGAATGCGATTAATAGCTTGCTAAATTTCGATAGAGCTCATCATGGATTTATTTATTGATGAAAACGAGAGCGGCTCACCTTTCCTTTGAACTTCTTCGCGAATCTAGGCGCCACGTAGTCTTCTGGAACGATGTCCAAGGAGCTGGGGTTGATCGCCGGCGCGGGAGCGGGTCTTTGAAGTTGCAGGAAAGCTATGATGCTGTTGACCTCACTCTCGTAAGACGCGTCGGCGAGGGTGCGGCCTTTGGCGGCTAATCTGCACGCCGCCATCCACTTCGCATACTGTTGCTCCTAGAATAACAAAACGAATGACAATTACAGTCGAGACACGACTACAATTTCTTCACTCTATTTAGTCTCCATCATTAGATCACAATAAGATAGACTCGAGTACTTGTTACGGCGAGCAAGTAACGCATTGCATTCCAACCTTGCCACCGACTAATTCGCTACTTACGTTGTCGCATCTGATCCACATCTCCGTCATGCCCTCCGCGCTAGGCACCTCCAGTCTGATCCCGTAACGACTCTGCGACAGATGTACATCCGGCGTGACTTCGCAGCCGCGCAGATTAATCACGCAAGCCGGCGACTCTGAGCCGCTGGTTTCCTCACGGCTCTTGTAAAGCCGAAGCTGCAGGTCCCGGCATGTGAACCAATAGCGCTTGTAGGCCCTGAGGGTGAAGCGTTTCGGCTTGAAGAAACGCAACTCGTCGCAGAGCTCAGGCACTTGCGTGATGTCGCTGGGTCCGTTGCTGATGTTGCTACCTTCCAGCGTTACCTGCAGGTCCGTCAAGGCCGCGTCAATGTCATCCTCGACGGGCGAAGTCGCGCCATTGCTGTCGTAGGTGGGTTGCGGCACGCTCGCCTGAAGATTCACCTGCACCTACGGACATCAGAGACGACGGGGTGAGCGTAGGTGACACTGGCTGCGGATCTCTTCTGTTTTTTTCTTTGCTTTTTCTTGAGACATTCGTCATGAGGATGGGACGACGAGTAGGTGTACCAAGGTGAGCGACGTAGTATAGCAGCAGTGGGTCGAGGCGACGAGGTCGCGTCTTTTCTTGGTCGTGCTGGCGCGTGTAACGACATTACGTAGGTACGGCGGAACACGGGCTCGCGAGTCGAGGCAATCGGCTTAAGGACGTGGCTATTTGCATGCATTACACGTCGAGTGGGGCTCCCTAGGAGCAGTATGAGCATATCGGAAGCGGGAGGGGACAGATAAAACATTCGTCTGTCGTGTAGCCGACGTGAAACGAAAGGATGACAATCAAGAATTGCAATGAAAGTATCAAAGTACTTTAGCATCTAAGTTATTAGTTATTACTTGAAACTCGTTTCTAGTGAGATACTTAAACTTGAATTCAGAATTAGAGATGAGTTTTTTCAGTTGAAGCGCGATTGCACATGATAAATGTCACATATATTGTATAATTCAGCTGAAAAACTTGGGTCTAGCTCTGAATAATTTGGATGTCTCACCTGAGACAAGCTTTAGCTGACAACTATTAATACAGAGCTTAGTACTTTGGCGCGTTTTAAAATCGAGGTATTTTACTATTTAATTTCCGCACAATGTGCATTCTTGTAGCAAAAGCAAAATCTCGTGTGAATTTCTGCGGACAAAATAGGACAATCGGTGGCGCGTGAATCCGAGTAAAGAGATAAGATTAGGCTAGGAGGGGAGCATATATGCTTTTCTATATAATGAAATACCTGAAGCGCCGCAAACATCAGCATTTCTTCCTCGGTGCAGTCGATTTCTTCAGCTAGCAATTGCCACTTAGCCTGCTCGTAAATCATGTTGATTCGCACCGCATCGGTCTTGGGATTCAGATCATAGAAGGAGTAGAACTTGAACTTGAGCCTGAGCGTGTCGAATTCGCGAATACCCTGCTCCATGATCGACAAGGAGGAGTCCAACCAGGAGACGTTCATTCGCGCTCTCTCGATCAAGCTCTTCGGCCTGATTAATTTCGCTCGCACCTCCGGCGAGATCGACGTCGGACTCTGCGCCAAGGACTCCGACAAGCCGCCGTTCAGCGCCTCCAGACTCATCGTGCTGTTGTTGGCATTGAAGGAGCCGGTGCTGCCGAAGCCGGACGAGTTGTTGTTTCTTTTCCATGTGCCAGTGTGCTGAAAATTCGCATTGAACGGACGTTATAAAAAACAGCATGTCTTTTGCAAAGTTACTCGCGCCAAAACCAGAGAAGAATTTCGTGCAAGAATTTCGTTGATGTAACTGAATTTTCCGTTGTTTGGTAAGTATAGAGATAAAAAACTCGATCGTAAGTACAGAAAGATTCTTGTAGAAAGTTTTGCATTGAATCAATTGTGTTAGTCAGTCAGTTAGTGCAACCAAGTTTTAATACAGTTGAACGTTCAGACAAATGTCTTTAATTACGATACAGAGACATCATCTCGTTGAAGTTCATCTTGTTCAGAATCGCATGAAATGCGATTCTTTCCCATATATGAGCTGATAAGTTAAAACTGGTTGATTGAAACGGAAAATTGTTGACGCGGTAAAACAAGTTATTGAAATAAATTAATCAGAAATGCGATATAATCGAGTCCGTAATAAACAGTAATGAATATGAGAATAAATATAGATGTCCTTTAAACGCCTTTGCGATGCTACTGGCGATATTTATGTCATCTGGGACATTCCTCGTCCGTTAGTCAACCTATACGTACAATCGTACACTTTGTAAGGTCCATTCTATCTCTATCCTATATCTCACACACGCTAAACCTACCGAGACAGGCGAGCTGATGGGCGTGCTGTGATTTCTGTTGGGCGTAACCGGCGCGCACATGAACGGATTGGATTGATCTAAGCTTCCCGTGGATCCCCTAGGACTCTGGCTGGCTGGGATGAAGGTGTTCGTATCGGCCGGCACATTCCAATGACCGTTCTTCTGATTCTCGGTCTTCTTCTTGACCGGCAGATCCTTTAGATTGTACTTCAGGTGATTCGGCTCGAGCGGTTTACAGAACGACAGCTCCTCCGGGTGTCTGATGCCTGTAAAGGGATTACGATCTCAATCTCGCATTTAAATCACAATGGGGTTCATGATTTCTCCTTGGAAGATTGAAATTGCGATTTCAACGAAAAATTTCTTTAAAATCCAAACACAACTCCGTAAATACAAGAGAGAGAGAGAGAGAGAAAGAGTAGGCACGCTTTGTGGAAGAAACAACAAAGTATAATATAATAGCAATATCTTGGAAGAAACAACAAAGTATAATATAATAGCAATATCTTGACATGTGAGCGACATGTGATGCATCTTTTGTGCCGCTATCTAAAGAGCGAGAGAAATAATAACGGGCTATTACTATGATGTCTATCTTCCAGTATGTTGTTGCAACGAAATAATTGATGGACAAAGATCGCGTGCAACTACGCATTGCGTCTATTTATGAATATGACACACTGATCTCATATCGCTGCTGTTCACTCGCTAATAAAGTCAGCATTCCGGCGGAATATGCAAAGATACGATCGATGATTCGAACATGTCACGCGCAGACAAGATAATAATTCTCCCCAGTCTTCGAGACGACAGATCTGTTTTATTCCTTATACATTTTTGTTGCTTTGTATGCGTGACTTTTTCCTAGCCGCGAAAAAGTGTGTCAACATGTTGGAGAAATTCTGAAGTATTTAATTAGGGAGGGATTCGTGAAATTCTCCAGCTCGCCGATCACTTTCTATTTCAGACGGCGTTATGAACGCGTAATTCTGTGCGTGGAATTCTTTTCAGGTCGTGGTGAGGCGATAAAGGGACATATCTCCCCGGTTCTTATTCGAAAGTCGGCTTTATCCTCCGGACAGAATTATCGCGTTAACCCACTTCCTTGATTAAAAAGCCCGTCGAGGTTGCGCCGCGGCGGATTCGCAACCGCGATCATCCGCGCGACCTTCGCGTGACTACAAATTTATCATTTCTCTTTTATTATCGTCTATAATATCACTACTGGCGCAAATTAGTCGCTCTAAAGTCACGATACACGCTCGCTCGAATGCAACGATGACGGAACAGTCGAGATATTCGTCAACACGTGTGAATGTACATTTAAAAAATAAGACGGAGAGAATTTACGATTTGAAAATGAAAACAGACAACATACAAATGAAAACATACAAAAAAACAGACAAAAAAAAGAATATAAAATAGATATATGAAGGAGAATGAAAGTAAAAGAAAGAATAGGATAAAAATGAAAATAATACACGGAAAGAATTTTATAGCAAAAATTACCACGAAATTTTGTGAAGCAGATCGACATTCCGCAGTAATTGATTGATTATCCTTTTCTTTTTTATATTTCAAGGAACTAAAGTGTGCTATTAAAAAATTTGCTATGTTTTTAGCAAAATTTACCATGTTCCTTAGCTTATAATAGACCTCACTGACAGTCTATTTCTGCACTATTAGAAACATAGTAAAATGGAAAGAAAAATTTACAGAAAAAAAGAAAAACTATAATATTCTCCTCGTATACAGGAAAAAATAATTTGGAAAAATATTTTCTCGCTCTCCGCCTTCTCTAATTTTCATTTTTCCGTTATCGGAAAGATACCAGTCACAACGCGAAATTATTTCATCAACTGTGAAAGCAATCGGCCTACTATTGCGAAACACGAGTCGCACATTCTTCAGCACTCTTCGTGCGAGCGCACATTTCCTGCGAATTCCTCGTTGATCTCTGTACGACGAGTGTTCTGCCCCCTTCGCACTGGCGTCATTAATTGGTAGGCGCGATAACCGCGCCGCTCGTTTCTATTACGCGTCTTAAACGACGTTAATGGGTTCGCGAGGCTCACCGAGTTCCTTGCACAAATTGATGACCGCGTTGAACGTCTTGACGGAAAAGTCGACTCGGCAGTCGAGGCAGCGCATATCCGGCAATTGTACCCTCAGGGTCTTATGCATCGGCGTGAAGTGCAGCTGCGCGTCCGCCGCGACGCCGTACTGGTCCAGGGTGCTGCGCGTCCTGGTGAGCCAGTGATTCCGCGCCGGCCACCAAAGAGCATGATCCGACCAGTCCATAGCGATATCTGCAACAACGAAAACAAGATCGATGTCTGTTAAAACTCCTAGATTTCCGATGGAGAGGAAGATAATATTTTGACAGACCGATGGGAGCCGGCGCAGCTGTTGATCGTTGCGAACAATTTACTTATCTGCTCGATCAGGGAAGCTTATAAGGCTCCTGGTTGTGGAGGACTTTCTTGACGTCAGAAAAGAGAAAACGTGTTGAAAAAGAATATATCTATAAAGTGATACTTGTGATCGATTGAGCAGATTTGCAAATATTCCGGAAGCGTTCCTTTTACTTTAATATTCAATAGATAGCCACGACGTGTAATCTTCCTTTCTAGGCCATCTTTTTTCACGATTCTGTCACGTTAACTTTATTACTTGTCACGACTATTTATTGATTGTTTGTGTAAGAGTTTTGAGATTGTCGAGTGAAGTTTCTGGAATATCCTAAACGTTCGTATTATTTAATTTAATTTGAACTTTAATACTACCTTCATACATTAAATATTATCAATCGCGATTTTTGGACTTTTTTTTTACATTACGTATCTTCCTCTTTTATTATTAATCTAGAGAATTCCAGTGTAGTAAAAAGTTATAGCTTCAACCAATAGGAAAAGCTATTACAAAGAAGATACATTCCAAAGAAGAGAACATGAGTCACAAGAGAAAACTGCGACGAGCCTTACTCTTGATAGCCAAGGACAAAAAGGGTGTCGGATAGCGCCGAGGGTTTCATGCCTCGAAGCTATTCTCCGCCGAAATCGCGGGCAAGCCGACCTCCGGATCGTGTCGGAACGGGATGAAAACGAGCCGGCTGTGAAAAGTCAATTTTCACAGCTGTTTGAGCCGATCCGTTTGCGCTCCGTTTAACGACTTCGGGGAGCCTATCGGGGATCCGTGCGGGTCGGTTCCCCAAGGGACTTTTGAGATCTCCCATTAGGTCGGGTCCCACATATGGAGTTGTGGATCGTGGGAGGCGATGTACCAACCGACATCGGGGAAGATAGACGGAATGTGAACGACAGGATGGCATGCTCGTAACGCTGGAATTATGATTCTATTATTATGATTAGGAAACACCACTCTCAGTGTACTCTCAGGAAGGACTTTCTTATGGTTTCCCAAGGGTTCCTAGGGCTACTAGTTACGACAGTTTGCTGACATCACAAGACTGAAAGGATCTCTTTTCCTTTGAAGTAGAGGGAGAGATCGCTCAAAGGGGAAACACTTTCACATCCGTGAGACATGATTCAATTTTAGGCTCGCACAACGAATCTGTCAAACGTACGGAATTGTCAGATTCGTAAGAAGAGTCTCGGAAATATTGCAGATTAAATGATACGCGGGAAAAGGCTTTGGTTGGCTCAAATAAAAATTACAGAAATAGAATTCCACGATAAACAGGATCAGTTTTTATCGGGCTCGCAGCTTTCCACAAGCTTGCAGAAGTGGCGCAAGTATTATCGCAGAGCGTCGATTATACTTCGCCGAAAATACTCGTTTTCGCAGTTATCTCCTGTTTTAATTTCTGTTGTGTATCCAAAAATAATCGCTGTCGTATATCGCTCACATTGTGTAATAAACGCATGCGATTATTAAATCCATTTATATGTACGGTTACTCTTCCAAAGCGGGCTCATGTCTCGTAATATCGAATGATGAGATACAAATAGCCGCTGCAAGAGAGAGAGAGAGAGAGAGAGAGAAGCTCGGAAGTATGCCAAGAGGAGAACCCGCCGGTGCATTATTATCAGCGGCTGCTCGCGCTCCTGTTCGCGAATTACCGCGTCTTTTACAAGAGGAAACCAGCAGAGATCGAATCCCCATCGCGCGCACACAGCTGCGGATCTATAAATATTTCCGCGGATTTTAGCGCCGTCCAGCGCGGCTCGTTAACTGCTTGTTTTCGTTCTCTCGCAACAGTCCGCGCAGGAGAGTTCTCGGATCCGCCCACACGACGGCAGAAACGGCAAATTTATCTCTCTCTCTCTCTCTCGTTTGTTTTTCTTCTTTATTATATTCCTTTTCCCGTCTGCGTTTTCGTTCGCTCGTGCCACTTTTAACCGTGACAATTGCGCGACACGATTCGCGATAGCGTGCTGACTAAAGAGGATGGCACGCAGAAAAATGTAAGCAGCACGTGTTTACTTTGATTAAATATTTCTCAAGTTAAATTTAAATTTCATCCCGAGCGTGTAAAGCGAATTAGGACGGTGCTTTTAGTCAAATCTTATATTTGAGGTCCTTCTAAGTTTATCTTCAGATATTTCACAGCCAATAAAATGAAGAATATACATTGCCTTCAAGCAGATGTTATTAGTTTCAAGTATTTCATAAATTTATTACTTAGGATGATCTTAAATCTGATTATCATTCATATGATAATACCGCCCTTAGAGTTGTAAGCGATAAAACTTAAGGGGACTGGAGGGTCAGATTGCCTGAAAATCATGCTTGTTCTTTCACAATTTTTTATGATAAACTGAATGAATATGCGAAAGTGTTATTTTGACGTGTACTTATACAACATATAAAGGGAAGAAAAATATAATTTTGATGATCAAATACTTAATATACGTGTATATGGTACATGCAGTTAAAATATATTTCGCTTTTCTTTTCGTCATTTTGCAGTAATATCTTGACTCTCGATGGTTTAATTAAGGTTGAATTTTAGGTAGAAAATTTCCTTGTCGTTATTGAGTGAACCACTATAATAAAAATTGAATAAATCTTAACAAAATTGCAAATATCTTAATGAAATATTACTAAATTTTCAGCTTTTTATAGTAAAAAAATTAATATTTCAAAATTAAATATTTTCACGAATTTGTCAGTGGTTTACACGATAACGACAAGCTTACGGAAATTTTCTACCTAAAATTCAGCTTAATTGAACTACCGAGAGTATTACTGTGAAATGACGATCTTGAAAAGAAAAACGAAATATATTTTAACTGCATGTACCATACATTCATATTGAATATTTGATCATCAAAATTATATTTTTCTTCTCTTTATATGTTGTATAAATACACGTCAAAATAACATTTTCGCATATTCATTCAGTTTGTCATAAAAAATTGTGAAACAACAAGCACGATTTTCAGGCAATCTGATCCTCCTTAAGGGAGAAGAACACTGTAAATTAATGGTATTTTAGGAATTTTTTAAAAGAAAACAATGCATATAAATGAATTTTATTTATACGAAAGTATATGTTTTGTGTATGTGGAAAAAAAATGAGTCCGATATCCCTATTTTTATGTTTTTTGCTGTTTTTTATTATATTTTTATCAAAACCACATTTTTCAACTTGGTTGACAGCATATTTTGAATAATTTTCAATCGGGGGTCAAAAAAATTCAAAATATTTGTAAATTCAAAGTAAACGCCTATTGTCTCATTGTACAGTTTTTCTTTAAATTCAAAATTGAATTTTTTATACGTTAAAAAGTAGACTAAAAAAGAGGTAAAATGTGACATTTTTTTTTAATGTTTAACAATTCTTTTAATTTTTCGAAATTTGAAATTCCCTACGATAAGACTGAAGAGAGCGATCTATATTTTAAGTATTATTGATTTTTTTTAGTTCAGATCAACCGTTTCGGAATCGTGTCAACCAGCCCACTCCTCTTTTTTTAGAAGCCTGCTTAGGTCAACTCTGAAAAGCATAAAAATAGGGATATCGGACTCATTTTTCTCCACATACAGAATAAAATATATACTTTCGTATAAATAAAACCAAATTTCGTTCATTGTTTTCTCTTTTAAAAAATTTCTAAAATACCATTAATTTTCAGGCCTCTACAGTGCTCCTCTCCCTTAAATAAACTTGACCTAACCGCAAGCTGATCTCACTCCAGGATCATCGAGAACGTGAAACTATCGCGTTCTCGACCGATTCGCTTACTGCTCAAGTCTTGCTGCTTACATTTTTCTGCGTGTCACGACTCTAACGTTTGCACAGATCGCGTTCGCGAAAAGTTCTCGTCGCGGATCTCCGGCGATCTCGATCCCTGTGTGTGTATGTGTGTGCGCGTGTTACGATCGAGCGATCGCGCACACAAGCCGTGTCGATTCGCTCGACAAGAAAGCACGCTCACCTGCATAACAATAACACGTGTCCCATGTACACGGTGTACCGCTAGGAGCGGCACCGTGACACACAAACGGGGACGTTTCTTCCTCCTCTTTACCGCCTCTGGCCGGTTGCGTATGTAACCCGCATATCCAACACCGGAAATGCATCGTCCGAGGAACGTCAAAGTGAAAACGGCGCGGAGGAGGAGGAGGAGGAGGATCAAGATAGCACGACGACGCGCAAGTGCAATCCATTAAGTGAACAGTACACTGCAGAATACTGCGAGCTGTTGCTACTGTTGCTACCGCATCTGTTTGCTTGAATCGAAAAAATAACTAAAACGAGGCAACGCGTGATCGATAGAGCGCGCAGCGCCGCGTGGTCGAGCAACAAGTCGTATACGGGGTGTCCCGCTGCTCTCTCGCCTTCGTCGTTCCTTTCACCCGGTGACTCTTCGACCAATTTGGCGGTGATTCCTCCTTCGTGAGAAATCGGTTGCGTACTCTCTGCGCGTTCGGTTAAAAATTCTCCACTCTACACGGAAAAAGAGATTTGCTAATATATGGACAACTGAAAATATTAACTGCGGGAGCAAATTTTCTTTTCACTCACATACCGACTAAATTCTCCACTCTGTGGTTCTTCCAACTTCTTGGTAACTTAACTCATACGTTAAGTCTGTCTTTGTTTTTCCTTTAATTTAGACAAAGACGGACCTTACTTTTTTCTTATTTATTCCTTTCAGTTTTCGACAGATAAAAATATATCTTTGCAAATTGGAGTAATATTTACGAGAAATTACAAATCTCCGTCATTTTCTTGCTTTCATAGTAAAAGTTATTTAGTTGCTAAAAGATTTGCTAATACATATATTAATAACTTTTAGTATGAAAGCAAGAAAATTTGCTTCTGCAGTTAATATTTTTA